AGTGAGCCGCGCGTGAAAAACCGGTGCACAATATTCTAGCAGTGGCCGGATGTAGGTAACATACACACGAACAAGCCGTCCCTATGGTAGATGGTACTTTTATTATGTAGAGCATGTGTAGAGCTTTGGATGCTTTGGTTACAATATCATCCACATGTGCTTGCCATGACATGTCATTCGATATTGTTACACCTAAAAGCTTAGTTTTGTTGGCAGTTGGCAGGCTTTTTCCTTGAACCATTATGTCTAGTAGTGCTAATGGTTTTTTGGCTGTGGAAAAATGCATGACTTGACATTTGTCAGTGTTGAATATCGTCTTGTTTGCCGTTGCCCAACCACTTATCTTGCCAGTGTGCTCTTGCAACTGGCAATGCTGATCGACTTGGCCAATTCGACACGCCTGGTATATGGTAAGGTCGTCTACATACTTCAGTCGGTTGTCGATATCAACAGCGGCACCGCTAACCATAGCCAGGAAAGCAACTGGGCCAACTAAGGTCTATAACACTAAGGTCTATACATCTATATCATTGCAGGCGGACGGCGGTTAAATAAGCACGCATAAATTTTGAGTGGACAGTATTGGTCATGCCCAATACTCGACTTCGTTCCCAACCATTTTTCTTTGCAGTTTTTGTTTATTCATTGTGATACCACGTGGCGCTTTTGCCGAAAGATCAGCTGTTGCAGTGTTCTGTTGCCAGCTTATTTGTTCCATTAGATACAAAGCTGTCACTTCTGGGAGAAAGCGCTGCGAAGCTACCAAATTAGGGAACGTTTTTACCGTTCACCAAGACAGCTACTGCGGTATATACGGAATTGGAAAGCATGATACGTATACATTAAACACAGAAGTGGCATTCGTGAAGAAGTAGGTGCTGTCGACAGATAACAGACAAAAAAAAAAAACAGGGAAAGAGCAAGCTAGTGAACCGCGTAATAAATTAATGTAAAAATAAATGTTCGTTCTCTCAAAAATCGGCGGAGGGTTCGGGTAAACCTCACGTTGGTCGAGTGTGTCTAGTACATGCCACAATACGTCACAACATTGGTGATGCCGCTCTAACGTGACAAGGGTGTGTTTCGTAAAACTCTGCGGTTATTGCAAACAGGTCCAAAAGGTGTTATGAACGACCTTATTTCTCCCACTCAATCAGCATATATGAAAGTGCGTTTCATTGAAAATAACGCTAGACAAACGCACGATATTATGAATTCAGTGAACTTTGAACATGTTTGATAGTAGCAGCTGATTTCGAAGCCGCATTTGAAACGATATCTTGGAACTTTTTATCTAAAACCCTGGACCAGTATAACTAGGGAAAATACTGTGAAAACTTTATGCATATGACGCGCGAAAACTTAAATGCATACTGTGATAAATAATGCATACCATGCACCGGCGCGAGAAAGTTTATGCATGCGGCATGGGCAAGGAGATCCAGCGTCTCTCTACTTCTTTAGTCTCGTCGTGGAACCCCTAGCAAACTAAATCGTAAAATCACAGCTACAGTGCGGAATCCGAACACTACATGGCCAAGAATTTCGGGTTTCACAGTATGCGGACGATTTAATGGTGTTATACAAAACAGATAACGTGTCACTGAACAGAACGTAGAAGAAATAACGAACTTTTCCTCCGTTTCCGGCCTCAAGTTGAATGCTAACAAAACACATGCCTCCAAATCGGGATTGGCACTGAAACGTCACGAATAAATGCAGGAGGAATTAAATTTGTTGAAGAATTAAAAGTGCTCGGCATTACATTAAAAAAAAACAACGCGAACATCGCCTAGAAAACCTTGAATTGAAGATGCCACTGATGGGGAAAGAGATATCGCATTAGAATATGGTGAATATGGCGGATATTATATACGGTCTGGATATGGTGGATATTAACCGCTTTATAAAAGACTTAAAAATATGGTAGATCCAAAGACTTCTTTGCCCTCAGCATGATTGACTGAGACTAATCAGGGTGAAAGCTATCTCTGTTGAAGACCTTGTGACCTATCGACCAACAAAACTGAAATATGTCATTACGAGATTTCAAAGTCTTTTGGAAGAATGTGCTTTAAGTGTGGTTAGAATTTCGCTCAATATACAACTCAGAAAAGCATCAGCTTCTGTCTAGGAAAATTATGGTTTTCGGATCTGACTAAATTTAACAGCACCATAGTTATCGGCTGGAACGATATAGGCCATTAACCCTTTATCTGGGGAACTGGACTCAAGACAGGAGATAAGAGAGACTTATAACAGTTCAATGGCATTCCTGTGCTACGAATCTCTTCTCAGAAACCTTCCGCAAACGATCAAAAACTCCAAACATAGGGGATCAATATTGTACCCAATAGTGTCTTACCAGATTGGTGAAACAAAGAGCACGTCCATTCAATCCTTTATTCCCGCATGATCAACAGAATAATCCCAGCGGATCTCTCTGCACGGAATTGGTCGATCAAAAAGTAGTTACTGCACAGTTTGCTCCCATACAGTTAAAACATTAACACATTTATATCGGGATTGTTGAAGAACCCAGGAATTGCTCAGAGGCATCACCAAAAAAGTCGAAGAATTCAACATAACACTAAAATTCGACAAAAGCAAGTGGATATTCCCCAACTTACAAAGTAAGAGTAGCATTAAAATTATCAGTATAACATGAGCGAAAATCGCGATTTTCAAGGCGCATCTGAGGAAATTATTGCTACAGATAGGACATTTCCTAAACCTGCTGAAACTTGAAGCATAAAGAGCGCTGTTCCGCCGAAAGAAACGAATACCTTTAACAAGTGGGGAAGAGTGGGGCTCATATTGCGAGGCATGTCCAAAACCCCACAACCATAGAGTTATGGTGCAGAGTGCGCGCGTTTACCGCACAACACACAACTTGAGCAGATATGCGCGCATTCTCTAACATACATGCTTTCAGACCACAACCACACACATCACACATTTACACCTACATGCAGGCATTCATGTCTCCCCTGCACGCACCGGTCGCGATGAATACCGTGTTGCGTGTGATATCGTGGTGGGAAGTCGCAGTGGAGCTCGTTCCAAAACAAGCGTACGAAAACTAGGCACCGAGGGTCTGATGCTGACTGTGCTGTAGATATTGTTATGTGTGAGCAATTATTTGGAATGATGTGCTCGCATGCATGATAGACTGCGATGATGTATCAGATGTGGCTGGAGATGGCTGCCAGATATTTTGAGCGGTCGGTCATTGTGCGCCTCGTCTTCTTGTGATGATTCTGATTGTGTGTGATGTGATTAACTAATAAATTGAAACGAACGTGGCCAGCAACTTGAAAGCGAGAACGCAAGTGATGACTAACTCTGGCTTAAACTAAGAAAGATGTTGACGTAGAGTTCCGCATCCTTGGAATACGGGGGGGGGGGGGGGTTATGTGCACCGATGACGATGACACTGGCCAGTTCCGCATCCTTGGAATACGGGGGGGGGGGGGTTATGTGCACCGATGACGATGACGCTGGCCAGTTCCGCATCCTTGGAATACGGGGGGGGGGGGGGGGGGGTGGTTTATGTGCACTGATGACGATGACACTGGCCAGTGCTGGGTGGAAGGAGGAGGCAGGGGAGAGTAAAAGAGCCGAGATTCATGTTGTTATTGGGGTAAGAATGACAGACACATCTCGTCTGGATGATTTTGGACAAATTTCCTTTTGCCTGTCCCCGTTATGTGCTGTGCTGTATTGTGCTACCCCTTTTTTCTGTCCTGTGCCGTAATGTCATCTCCATCCCTATCTTGACTTATCCTGTCTGCCTTTCTACCCCCAGGGTACCGATGTTGCGGTAGTTAACGCGTCTGCGTTAACCACTACACGTCTGGCGAACCAGAGGTACAGAGTTCGGTTCCTGCCAGGGTGAGAGGCACGTGACGTCATCTGGACTCAGCGGCTGAGTGCGCCATAAAGTCCCAATGATGACTGCTGTTCTACCCTATAATCTCCTGCCCTGTGCTGCAATCTTCTTTGCCCTACCCATCCTTGTCCTCTCCCATCTCGCCCGATCGCTAAACTGTCTTGTGTTGTTCCTTTGGTACCTGCCCTCCATTTCCTGCCTTCTGGCTGCCCTAGCATGCCCAGTGATGGTGCTTGGTGCTTATGTACTATTTTTTTCTGAATATCCGCATGAATCTGCTACTTGCTCTGCATCAAGGAGTAAATGATCAAACTATCTGACGGTAATGAGACTCTGAGACATTACTTGCCAATGTTTGATACCCACCAATTTTGTTCAAAGAGAAAGTCTGTCCTCCATATCGAACAAACATAACTTGGATCTGTTCCAGACCGAGCAAGTGATATTCTATACGTACATGCTCTACCTTCTGTTACTTATAGAAACTAATGTGTGCAAGTGATGTCATGCCCAAGGATCGGACTGGTGCTAAGTGTGTGCTGTAAAAGGCAATGTAACTAGCATCGTGAACTGGTAAATTTTGGAAGGCTAGCATTCCATTGCTATGAAAAGCACGACCACTCTGGTAAATGGTCTCTGGTCTTTTGAAACTTTCTTGTCTCCCTGCTCCGTGCATTTATTTGCTGACCCTCCTCTGAACATATGCATGCAAAGACCTGTTGACTCACTGCATTGGCAATGAACCAGCTACTTTGCGAGCGACTTCAAAGAAGACACGCATGTTAAGTAAGCTATACTGAGATGTAGGGTGGTGTGCGCTCTCGCCAGCTTTCAACGGTCGGCGTACCTCTCGTTGCAGGAGCATGACCGCCAGCTGCCTTGCCAGCCTGTCTGGTTCTGGTCGGCTCAGTTCGACGGAAGCCAGCGGTAGCTGTTCACCAACGCGCTTTACCAACGCGCGGTGGGCCCACCGAGCTGGCGCAGTTGGTGCGCCCCACCGACGCCAGCTAACTGTCGCCGCCGCCGCCGCCGCCGCCGCCGCCGCCACCTGCCATTTATTTCCATTGCCGGACGGAATCATTTGCAGCGTCTGCGGAGGCATTTCCGAATGTTGAAAGCAGGGGTGAAAGGGCAGTGCCTCATTCTGGGAAGAGCAACAGCGCAGCTAGGGGTCACCTTTCGTCCGAAGCCTATAAAGGTCATAGTGCACCTGCTCCGCGGCACACCGCGGCGCGCCTCCATTCTCTCAGCAATCGCCACCGCCAAGCACCTGGCTCGTGACCGGTGAGTTCGACACGCCCTTCTCTGCACTCCAGTCGTGGTTCAGGCGGCGTGCGCCCCGAAGGAGGGCAACGATAAAACTGGGGGGGGGGGGGAGTTTGCCGACAAGAAACAGTTGTGGAAGAAGGGTGGTGAAATACACGCTATATTAGATGACAGTTGTCATCGTTGGCCATGTGTGATGTTTTGACAGCATTGAGAAATGCTATCATAATATCAGCAATGCTGTCACTCTTTGGAAACTAACAAGTCATTAGTGTAAATGTGGATGAATCTGCTATACACCAGAGTAAATTAGGATGCAAGCATCTAACTGATATATGCGCGATATATGCAGATGTGTGGCGATCAGCCCTGACAAATCGATGTATTTTCAGGTGTTGCCACAGCACAGTGACGCGCTTCGAGCCTTCAATGTCGACCATTTTCACTATTGTGAGTGCACACATCTTTCTGCAAGGTCCTCCTATGTTCGATTTCAGTGTAGATGTTCGGTAAACTCGAGATGATCTGTTGTACCGATTCTGTTTAAGAGTTTGCAAGGGTAAGTTCTTCGCGCCGAAATCTTATCAAATATATTCTCATCACGGTAAGAGAGGTCAGGACCCGTACATAAATCACATAAAACATTTTTGGTTAGTTACAACCCTCCCTCCCCTGTTCACGCACTGGTCATGCTGGGTACCCCAACCCCTCCCCCGGGTACGCCACGTTGAAGGGAGCGACTCATCTTTCGGGCTCTTTCAAAAATATTCTCTGGTGAAACCTCAGAGACCATTTAGTTCTAAGAAAAGTGTCGGGTAGTGCCGCCGCAACACCATCAAGATTAAAAAGAATATGAATTTCAAGTACTTCCAAGTCCAATGCATGCCGTCAAGGCTTTGTAACAGCACTAAACTTTCTCCTTTCGTGGAAGTCCGAGGGTGTATTCCCGACACCTCCACATCTGCAGCTGTCGCGACCGTCGTCGTCTTGACGAAGGCGGAATCTGCTGAGGGCCGCTGGCAGCTGTTATGGGTTAGATGTACCACTGTTGAGCTGTTTCACCCGCACATTGCGGGCATGCAGGTTTAAAAGTGACACCCCTACTGGTATGAATGACGTCAGCACAACTGAACGGTTGTGATTGACATAGTGGGGCGGGTAGGGCCATTTACTTTGAAGCACACTGGCTGAAGCTTGGATCAGTGCGTCACTATAAACCATGTGATATTCTGTTTCCCGAAGTCAAACTTCACTTCGAAAAGAGCCACTGTTTTAAACGCCACTGGAGGGAGACAAAAATCGTAGCATAAAATTTCGTTGAACTCACAGCATAACATCCTCATCCTTGCTTATCGCTTTCCTTAAAAAGAGTGTTTCAAGCTCTCATCGCGTTTAGTACAGAATCACTTTGTCAAATTAGTGCGCTGAATTCATCACGGAACATATTCATTGTAAAAAACGAGGCAGATTAAATGTTTTAATTTCATAGTGATTAGCCTGGAGCCCAAAGAGCGCTCTACCACAGGATCCCCTACCCAGAAACCCAGGATTCTTAGGAATCCCTCTTTCAAATTGAAATTCTCAGCAGTTCAGAAGGCTTGTAAGACATCGGGCACTACCAGCCAGATGAGGCACGTCCGATCTAACAGTAGATGAAAAGTATACACAAGGCTGCATACTCCATTTAAGCGTAGTGCCTCAAGAAAGTAACGTCCACTTTGCCCCCTATTAAGCTAGCGTCCGCTTGTCCCCCTATTGAGCTAACGTCCGCTCGGCCCCCTATTAAGCTAGCGTCCGCTTAGCGCCCTCCTGAGCTAGCGTCCGCTTAGCCCCCCATTAAGCTAGCGTCCGCTTAGCCCCCTATTAAGCTAACGACGCGAAAGAAATGACCGGCGTGTTTTTTGCTATGGAGAAAGCTAACGGTATTTGGCTTTAAACTTTTAATTAACTTTAAATATTTTAGCGTTGGTTGTCCCCATACCACAGTGTAACGTTGGGCTGTCCAAGCCCTTGCCCTCCCTGCCTGGTTACTCTACCGCTAAGCACCATCGAAGCACCCTTTCCACCTCCACGCGTAACGCAATTTACAGACCTCTTACGACGACCCTGGGAAGCGACACGTCACGTCTGTTGCCACTCTCCACGTCTGATTCTCACTGGTGCCATCGTCAAGCATCGCGAGCTGTTGTGCACCCCTGTCATCAGCACCGTGTACCGGCCGCGGCTGCTACGCCCGCGTGCGGCGGTGTGGCGTGCTGTACCGGCCGTTGCTCTGTGCCACAGCTGATGCTGCTGCTGGCCACCCTGAGTATGGTCAGCGGCCGCTGCCCGGACAACTGCCCAGAGAACTTCCACTGTCGGCTTAACACGCATTGCTACCCGGATATCGACTTCGGTGGCCAGCATCGACTCATCTGCTGCCCGAGACGATGACCTCCTGGATATGACTTGGAAGAACACGACATACGGTACAAGACACCATGAACACACGTGGAACCCGGAGTGAGCGGGCGGGCAGGCGTGGAGCACCGTGGCATCCCAGCCAGACAGAAAAGGATGAGAGTTCAACTCAGAGTAAATTGTGTCGCCATACTGGTGCTGTTTCAGTACTTTCTGCTTCCATTGAACGTTGGAAGTGGGATGGATTTTACACAGCGCGCAATGAACCGGAGACTTTGGTCACGTGTTGGATATGCTTGACATGCTCACGTTCCATTTTCGTGCGGAAGAAATCACAGATAAAAATATGTGAAGCGCATGCTTTTGTTTCTGATTGGGCTGCGTTGTAGTGATAACGCGCACTGCTACGCAATGCATGCGCCACGAACGCGAGCGCATGTCTTTTGCGGTAGTATGGTGACAGTGCGCATTGCTATTAATCGGATTATTGAACATGCCTAAGCCGGCAGGTCAGGTCGGCAGTGCGTCGTGACACACGGGAGGAGATTAACAGGCGTATACGGGAGGGTGGGCCGAGCTCGATGTGGCGCAGTGTGCAGCCTGTCGTCTCATCTAAGCAGCCAACCAGGTCCACACCTGATGCGGACGCGGACGACATCAACCGGTACTTCGCCAGCATTAGTACCGCGACCGTCCGCCAGGTGGACTCCTCAGGGCCGGAGCTGGCGGTACGCCTGCCGCGCGTGGCTACCGGCCGGTTCCGGGTATCGCCCGTTGCGCCGGAGCAACTGCGATGTGTCATAGCCCGCGTGCGTAACGGTACGTCGTGCGGAGCAGACGGATTGTGTATCCGGTTTTTCAAACTGTGTGTAGACGCCATTTGTCCCGTGATCGCCCATATTGTCAATTCAAGCCTGACAGCCCATGTAGTTCCCGACTCGTGGAAGCTGACAATAGCACATCCTATCCAAAAGACGCCAAAATCCACTGAGGTTTCTAATTACAGGCCTATCTCAATTTTACCGACTATTGCTAAGGTTACCAAACGTGTAGTTTACGAGCAGATGTTTGCATATTTTACCTCTCATCACCTGTTCTCGTCTAGTCAACATGGTTTTAGATCATATCACCCCACTGACACGGCGCTTCTCACGGTAACTGACAAAGTTTTTGAGGTCATGGATCAAAGGGAAATCACCTTGTTATGCCTACTGGACCAATCCAAGTGCTTTGATATTGTTCCACGCGATGGACTTCTTAAAAAGCTCCAGCTGTACAATGTTGATGTACGTTGGTTTGCGAGGTACCTCCAAAAATACATTCAGCAGGTTCTCGTCCAGAACCCAGGTGGCGCCTCCTCTCTGTCGGCGGCATTGCACAACCCGATCGGAACCTACCAGGGCTAAGCGCTCGGCCCGCTGCTGCACAGCATTTATGCTAATGATATGCCGCTGTACGCTCATGACGCATGCATTGTGCAGTGCGCGGACGACACGCAGGCTTTAGTGAGTGGGAGGCCCGATGACATTGGTACGCTGATCACATCCATGGAGCAGCGTCTTTCACACCTGTCCAAATGGTTTGGCAAAAACGGAATGCAATTTAACGCACAAAAAAAACACGGCTGACAGTCCTCGGCACGCGTCGAAATCTTCGGAACCTGCCACCGACTAGTATCAAATCTATGGGCGCCACTGTAGCCAGCCCTCCTTCCGTTCGAAACCTGGATGTTGTATTGGACCAGTGCATGACGTTCACTGCGCACACTGATGACGTCGTGCGGCGATGCACTGGCGTTCTCATCGGACAGCCGGCATAGTCTGCCTCAGGCCACACTCATTACTCTAGTCCAGGGTCAAGTCATCTCACTCATCCGCTACTGCATCTGTGTGTACGGAAGATGTAATGATACTCAAACATCACGGCTGCAAAAGTTGCTGAACTTCGCAGCACGAGTCGTCTCTGAGCGTCGGAAATGTGATCATGTGAGCGGTGTTTACGAGATCTCGAGTGGATGTCTGCTGACATGTTCTTATATCATACACTGACACTTCTGAAACGTATCCTGGAAAGATCCAAGCCGGAGTCGCTATCTGATCACCTTATCCATAGACGCCATGTTCACCATTGCATAACGAGGCAGAATGATATGCTACATGTGCCGGTGATCAGATCCGAATTGGGAAGGCGGCGTTTTGTTCACTCCACTGTGACCGCCTACAACGCACTACCGCAGAATATTCGCGAGATGAGCCTTCCACAATTCAAACGTGAGTTGCGTAGTTACATCCTGCAGCGGCGGATCAATAACGGATAGCGACGCATACTTCAAATGACTTTAGCGAATGTGAGAGAGTGCGTTCTGCGTATGTGTGTCTGCGTGCGTACGTGTTTGCGCGAGCCTCCCTGATCTACAGTGTTTTATTTCCATGGCACGGGCTCTGTAATAGCCACATTCTAAGTGGAGTGAGCTTATGACGTGTAATAAATAGATAAATAAATAAATAAATAAATGCACGAAAACCAACAAGCACGACGTGAATAATTTAAATTGCTTGTTTGCTAGCCAGGCAACACATCAATAGAACTCGGGGTCAACAAAGCCCATGACACTGAAGCTTGAGGCGCATGGTGGGCGTGATAAGCATCTCTGCAGGCTCTAACAATCTTTATTCAAAGGGCCCCGGATGGGTATAACCCAGAGACTGAGAACCGTCTTCTGAAATGGTTAATTAAATGGTGCAATCTTGCGTTGACGTGCCAGCGCTCCTTGATCCACCCTTAAATACCACCTTGCACCCCACATCCTTACCTGGCTGACGTTTCCTGAAACATCCAGAGTTCACAACGTCCAAATGTCAAAGTAACATCGTCCAAGCATCCAAAATCGCAGCACCCAGCGTTCATAACATCCCAAACCATTCCATGTCCCTGGACAGGAGAGGATCATAACATTCAAGCTCGCGGCACCCAAAGGTGCATTATCCTAAGTTCATAATGCAACAAGTTCATAACACTCAACATCATACAAAAATGGAACGCCCAAGCTAAAGACTGTACGGTTTGAACTTTCAGGATTCTGCCTGATCTGGTCTGGACGGTCCAAACCCGACTTGCTCTCCACTTTGCGTTCTCAAATTTATAAATTCAATTTAATCTGCCCAGATTAAAAGAAAACAAAATGCTGGAACAAATCCGTGCGGATCCGCCTCAACACTTATTACTTCTAAAAACGCTAGAAGCAAATTTAGTACACATGATTACCTTTAAGTTTTCTGAGTTATTATGTTCTATTGGCAAACACGTGCAACTAGATTGCATCAATGGTTCTTTGTCCACACTAGTAACGCAGCTCACTGCCAAATTGGAACAAAAAATTGCATGAACAACGGATCATAGAAGAATGAAGACATTTTTCATCACATCCCAATTTTTATGCTCCAGTTCACACAAACTACTACCTTAGCGGGTAACATGCCCTCTGGCTGGAACATTGTAAGCAATATTGCCTCACATTTCCACACAGGGTTTCGTGCAGTAGACGTTTCGCAGATCCAGCTGAAAAGCACACAGAGGGTCAATTAGCGCTCCCTCAGGGTAAAAAAATGATCAACTCATCTCATATATCGCACTTATCATATATCGCACTTAACATATATCGCACGTGTTTCTGTCCATGGACACGCCAAATGGTGCTTGGTTTAAACCATCATGTATCGCTAGGCTGCGCTACTTTCCCCATAGCCCGAAGGAGAGCCAGAGAAAGAGGGGGAGAGAGAAAGAGGGAGGGAGAGCGACAGAGACAGAGACAGAGACAGAGACAGAGAAAGAGAAAGAGAGAGAGAAAGACAGACAGAGAAAGGGAGAGAGAGAGAGAGAGAGAGAGAGAGAGAGAGAGAGAGAGAGAGAGAGAGAGAGAGAGAGAGAGAGAGAGAGAGAGAGAGAGAGAGAGAGAGAGAGAGAGAGAGTAGAGAGAGAGAGAGAGAGAGAGAGAGAAATAGAAGAGAGAGATAGAGAGAGAGAGAGATAGAGAGAGAGAGAGAGAGAGAGAGAGATGAGAAGAGAGAGAGAGAGAGAGAGATAAGAGCGAAGAGAGAGAGGATAGAAGCGAGAGAAGAGAGAGATATAGTAGGAGAAGGAAGATAGATCTCTATATAGAGAGGAGAGACGAGAGAGAGATAAGAGAGAGAGAGAGAGGACGAGAGAAAACCTAAAGCCATAGCATACAATTTCATTAAAATCGCAGGATAAAAGAGTGGTGTGCTAAAACCAGTGGTAAACAACCAGCCTGAGAATTATAGTTTAAACCTGTGTCCTGAGCGCATACGCTGTGTCTTCGCGGGAGACGTGCAAAACTGCCAGGAGGTGTCGTGTGTGGAACTGGAAAACTAATTAACACTTTTAAGTTTGTTGTTTTGTAACACAATAATAATACTACGACACGGAGAGAAGAAACTGCTAAAACATCAGCAAGCTTATCACAGTGTGAATCACAAAATTTGTCTCAGATGTAAGGATGCTGGGACGGGATTACCCACCTCAGATTAGTACATTATACGAAATTGTGACACTTGTTATCAGGTGCATGATTTCGCAAAACCAGTTAAAGAAAGGGCATATAAAAAAATGCAACTGAAGACTTTATCAACACAGGTACGTGATCTTATTTCATCCGTTTTCTCTATAACGTTGCGGGAGATGTAGGACGGGGATTGAGAATACAAATATGGTTCCTCTCCTGCCTACTGCGCTACCTGTTATAATATCTGACACAAGCGTAAGCTAGCGATGGGTAGTATTCCACTGCTAACCGTGCTAATGGAAAAGCATTTCATTTGCGTAGATAGGCTTTTAGGTGATTTACTAGCTTTAGATTATGCGTATTTCAAGCAAAACTGTTTCTTCGTTTTGTGTACAATATTTGACATGTATTCAAGAGACACAGTGAGTCCTGTTCAGCGAAGTCTCCAGCTATGCAGTGGAACTCTACAGCTTTATAGCTTCGATAGAGGAAGCTGGATTACTTTTTGCATGGGGTAGGATACAAGTCAAAAAGCATAGATTGCATACACACACACAAACACACACACACACAAACGCGCGCGCGCGCGCGTACACGCACACGCACGCACACACACACGCACACACACACACACACACACACACACACACACACACACACACACACACACACACACACACACACACACACACGCATACGCAAACGCGCGCACACACGCACACACACACACACACACACGTACGCACGCACGCACGCACGCACGCACGCATGCACACACGCACGCATGCACGCAAGCACACACACTTTTCAATGTGGAGCGGAGAGGTGTCAGCTATGTTAACTGGCCCACCCACCTTTCCGGGTGTTGCGTGCGAAAGTGGAGTGGAAAGGGGTCGGCGATGTTAACTGGCCATCCACTTTTCCGGGTTCTGCTTGTGAAGGTGGAACGGAGATGGGTCACCGATGTTAACTGGCCCACCCACTTTTCCGGGTTAAGCTTGCGTTTGAGTTACGTTCCTGCCACCATAAACATGTATGCCAAAGTAACCTGGTCACCAGCCATCAAACAGCGCTGCACAACACTGCTACATGCGGTAAATAGCAGAATATTATCCTACCACATATGACGCATGGGGATATTTCTGGACAAACTGCAGGTAGTCTAATACCAAAAGCTTCGCTCTGCCTTTTTATATAGCCTTGGTTATTTTGTCTGCCTGTTTGTAGCCTCTCATGACAGGTGCGCCAAGTTCAAAATGGATATCTCAAAATGGTATCTGGCGTGGTCCGGCATGCCGGGCAACACGATGGTTTCACATAATATTCCGTTTTCGGAAATCTATTTCACAGAGCAAGTTGTCCAGCAACAACGCGGTTCGATTTTGACGTCGATCTGACCTTCATATCTAAGCCAAGGTCGATGAAATTTATCGTAATCGTATCTGTCTAATTGTTTAAGGAACCCTCAATTCTCAAAGTTGTAACACTGCGTCGTCACATCATATTGAATGAACCAGTCCCATAGGATCTACCTTCGCAGGCCGCATTGGCTTAACTTTGGCCTGTCATAGAGCAGTGGCTTTTCATGGTATGTCTTATTTGCATGCCAAAAGAGAGACAATTCAATGCTGACAAATAAGCAAAGTTTAGCGCGGCCGTGCTTAACTGCTCCAAAATTGTTCTGGATAACCTACTAGGGGGGGGGGGGGGCAAAGTACCTCCATCACCACCCGAGCGCCTGCTAACCTCACAATCATTACTCAGATCATGGAATGCTTGCTGAGTGGATTTTTCGATACATCACATAGCAAAACGGCATGTGACGACATTGGGGGGATGGGGAAGTGAGACATGGCCCGAAGGAGTGGCCCGTATTGTTACAGATCACATTCCCCGAGCCAGGGTCTTGCATGAATTTTGCGTACAGAAAATAGTCACTTATATCTCGATGTTAAGCATCGAAAAATCAAAGGCCGCGGACATGGTTCGAGAAACCCGCTGCCTGATTCCCTAGTCAAGAGAATTTCAGACACTTAGAAAGCCACCGGTCTGTTTCAACTGATGCAAGAGAACAGATAAATGACCATGCACCAGCTATGTCGACGGGCGAGTCGTTCCGGTTATTCGGAAACACCGCGGACCAGAGTACACACTGGAGAAGGGGTGGATTATTATTCATTTTTTACAAGTGTGCACCAGATAACAACAGGTTTCGTAGGTACTTGTATCGTTCGCCAAGGTATGTGAAGGCAGTGTGGTGATCTCTGCCCTGGCTGGCGTGGCTAATATACCGGCATTAGCATTATCACTTCGTGCTTGTATCCAATATGTTTTATAATCCAGACATGCACGGTGATCATTTTGTGCATTTTTGTTGGCGCTGGGACACCAGACGCATATCAATTTTACGTCAAGCCGTACGAACAACTTCGGAGTATGTAAGTGTATATATATATATATATATATATATATTCAATTAAAAATGACTGCTAACTTAGCATTGACGAACTTTGTTATGCATCGTTCTAGTTTTCGGGCTTTTGACTTAGAATTATTGTGTAGATTAAAAATGGTTCGCACAAAATCTTCATCGCTCTTTACATTCTTACGTTTCGAAATCTTATGTCGCCGTCGGAGAAGACTGAATGGCACAAGAAATGAGTTTTGAGTTTTTAAAGGATGCAAATTGTGCACTTCTCTCTAAGACATCTTTTGGTGCAGAGAACGTAAATGAAGCATGACCAATTGAAGTAAGGCAAAATTCGATTTTTACTTTGATGCATATAAAGTACACTCATAATGGGAACACTACAAAGACAAATATGGTCAAAAGTACTTACCGCCCACCACTTAAAAGTTGAGGGGTTGTACAAGAAATTGTTTGTTTAAGGCTGGAGAGAGTTCGTTAATGACACTAATTTTCCTAATTTGAAGGCGTCTTCTGTCATTGCACGTCCGTAAAATGTCATTGTTGTCTGTCAGTTGTTGTCGTGTCAATGTCCTGTCGTGTTCATCTCGTGTGTGGTCCAGAGTCACGTAAGTGCATCGTCAGGCGTTGTGAGTATCGTACTTACTCCAATGTAGTGTATGGCACGAGCTTTGTAGCCTTCGATGTTGCATTTGAATTGATACACTACATTGGTGCATTTTAGTTTGTCGGGTTTGTGAGGTTTGTTCGTGTCCTTGTAGTGTTCCCATTTTGTGTGTATTCTAAATGTATCAAAGAACAAATATGAGTTTGTCCTACTTCAATTAGCCATGCCTCAAACGTGTTCTTCGTACCAAAATATATATATTTTTAAATAGTAGTGCACGACTTTCATCCTTTAAAAACTCCAAACCCATCTGTTGTAGAATTCAGTCATCTCCGACGATGAGAGGTCTCGAAACGTAAGAATGTACAGAGCGATGAATATATGAGTGATTCGGTGCGAATCGTCTTTAATCTAAACGATAATTCTAAGTCCAAAGCTGGAAAACTGGAACGATGCATGAAAAAGCTCACCAATGCTGCGTCAGCAGTCATTTTTAATCTAACATGCATAGAACAAAGAATTCTGGCACAATATTCTGATATACAGACATACAGATACACACATACACACATATGTATACATACATACATACATGTGTATATATATATATATATATATATATATATATATATATATATATATATATCCATATATACATATATGACATAGGTCACTTTTCTCCAGACTGGCCTTGGTGATTGTTTGTTTTTTAGGGAACTTCTGCTGTTCAAATTTTTGCAATCTTGGAACTATCCACGCGTATTCACGTTGATCGTGCATTCACGTTGATCATATCCCGTGTATTGTTATGGGTGCCACGGCGCTAAAAACTTAACCAACGTCAACTCCATTTATGAAAATGTCTCGCGTCATATCTCGTGACGCATAAGTCTGAAGGACACAATATTGTGCCAGGTGGGTTTTGCGCATCAGATAGCACCTCGCGCCAATTTCGGTGAAATCTCAGCCATGACCGCGTCGCATCGCCCTGCTGGTGCTGAGCCCGGAGGCGGCACCGTCCGCTCCGAGGCGATCAGCTGGCCGGTCGTACGCTACCTACTGTGCTGGCTTGTGAATTGCGAGTCGGTAGGATCGTGAGGAACGCGGGTTTGTTTTACCTATCCACTGTTTGTTTCACACATATCAATCTCGGCTTAGGCCCGTGAAAAGGCAGGAGATATTTCAGGGTTGTAGCTGAAATTGGTTGATTGATTGTAACCGAAATTAACTGAACTAATTAGCATTCCTCAATCATTCGCGATCCAGGGAGAGCTTTATAACCGTCGGCTGGAAGAGGCGAACACCAGGTAGGAAACGGATCTTTTGTTTTTAGTGTTCCTGGTGGCATTTGGCGTGACTTGGGCTCCGTGATAACGGTATGAGTCCAGCACGGAGCTGGCCAAAACCCGCAGAGGTACAAAATGTGACCCTTGCCCACTGCTAAATAATTTCGATCTTGCATTAACCTGCGGTAGATTGCTTTCCAGGCTACCAGCACGGCCGCGTCACCAATCGAGGCACGCCGACCCTTATAGAGGCGGTCAGAAAAACAAAGGGCGGATGCTCATCAGCTTGGAACCAGATCGGTCTTATTGACAGAAGGCGGTGTGAAAAACAGCTGGCAAGGCTACACCGTGTCCGCACGCCTACACACGCTGCTGGTGACGTCACAGTTTTCACCCACTTCACACCGACTCCAGTCGGCTGGCGAAACCAGGCGTGGCGACAGCCTTGCCTCGGTCATCACACGCATGTGGAATGTGAGCGCGCTCCCCGCAGCCTCCAGCAGCCGGACCATCCTCGGCAGCAACAGCAGCAGCAGCAGCCGTTAGCAGCCGGCCACGCGGCAGCGGACCGACGGCTCGCGTACACAGCTGCGACACGTTCTGCACCGTTTTGTAAGCTTCTCGCCGCCGGAGCCACCAGTCCACTTGCCGTCGCCCCGCGCTTCATACGCTAACGGTCGAACGCCACCCAAGCGACGCTTAGCTTAGCACTGCACTGCAGATGACAGGACACGACAAGCCAGGAGCACACGCCCGCATGCCAGTCTGCACAGCTTCAAACGCTGGGCACCAGCCGTGAGCGTGTCATCACATCAGACCGAGCGCCGCCGGCGGTCTGACGGCGGGTGAGGCTCGCGGCCCGGCGGCCCGGGTCGGCCCGGGCCGAGGGCTGGAGGCGGCTGCCCCCGGTCCCCGGCCCGGCTGCGGTCAGACCCGGGCGGTGCCAACCTGGGGCAGCAGGCCCCGTCGTCCGGCGACCAACAGACCGCAGGCCGGTTGCCGGTGCACCGCCGGCCGTCACCCGACGCCTCGCCACTCAGCCCACAGTCACAGTCAGTCTGTCACAGTCACGTGACACCCAAACCCACCCAGTGCCACCAGCACACAAATATGTGCATAGCTTCATTGCGAAGCAAACGATACATACACTTCAAGCAGATGGTACCTACGTCGCGACAGAGAGCATGGGCTAGAGCGCCACCTGCTAGTCTAAATACGCAGTGTCATAGCGAACATTCATTATCACTCACATCAATTATGCGCCGCAGTGACAGTATGCCATAAGGTTGCAGGCAGGATTCAAAGCACGAAACACCATTTTTGCACGACGAATGCAAAGGCATCGCAGAACCGAAAGCATTTCACACGGCAGCTGTCGCATGATGGCAATACTGCTGTATTTTACACCAATCATTGCTGGAAAACCTGTTCTCTGGATCGGCGGCTCCAACGCATTGTCAGGGTCTAAAATTTCTAGTATGCCACAAGCCTAATGTTGCCGCTTTAATCAAGAGGGTCTGGGCCCCCAAGACTTGCCGCCATAACTACAATAAATACAGACGGAGCAGGGATGGGCGTGGTCAAGCCGGCATGTCGTAATAACCTACAGCCGTATGCCGGGAGATGTCTGCTGAGCTGGTGCGGGAGCTCAGCCGTGCCGCTCGTCCGTCGCCAGCGACGCGGACCTCCACCAGTGCAGCCACCCCCAGCCGAGGACTCGTCCGCCAGCCCCCGGACCATGCAGCAGTCGTACCGCCCTCTCCTCCTCAAGCGTGGACTTGTCCGCCGCCAGATGACGGTTTGGTAACCGTAGCACACGCCCTCCAGCGTGGACTCGCTTGTCGGAGATATTTCAGCCGCTGCACCGCCCCTGCTCTTCCCGCTTGGACTTGTCCGTTGACAGGGGGACGTTCCATCCTCGCCCATTCTCGCTTAGACTCTCCCATCGGCAACCGGCTGCTCCAGAACACCGCCCTAACAGCTGCACCACCCCTCTTCCTCTGGTTTGGGCTCTCCCGTCGGCTGAGGGCTCAGCTGGACGCCTGGCGCTGGAGGCGAGTTAAGGAAACCGAACAGACTTCTCCCACCACCATCCTCCGTTTACTGCGCGGCATATTGTTTTTCTTTGTCAAAATTCCTGCTTCCAGTACCACTTATATGCCACCATTACAAAGTTGGACAATTGTCTTGTTCATTTCGACAGGTCGCGGCGCTGGATTACCCGTACGCCGCCGCGCCCGACAATGCCATGGATCGAAAGACTGGTGGGCGCGGAGCCGTCTCGGGCATTGCGGTCAAACACCGCGAGTATAATTTCGACCCTTTCGGGGCAGAGCGACACTGTGTGCATTCGCCGACAGCTGTTAACAGGCTGAATAGGCAGCGGCGTTCGAACAGTGCCCTGCGGTCCATCACGAGCCATCGCCCGGGCGCCACACACGCCTCGCGGTGAAAGGCGCAAAAATTAGCGCGTGGGGTGTGCAAAGGAGAGTCCACATTGGTGCGCCGACGCTGTGCAAATGGTTCCAGTTCCGTCCAGTCAGCACGACAGCGGGGGGGGGGGGGGGGGGAGGAGCACGACTCTGGGCCGACTGGACGGCAGGGCGGCTCGAGTCAACACTTCTTGGTGCGCTTCTAGAGCGTGTCTCCGTATTGGATCAGTATCAATAGTCTACCCCGTGCGAATTTATCACTGTACTCGAAAGAGTCCACAGCTAGTAGATAATCCCTGCCCACGAGGGGGCAAAGAATCGGTCCCTGCACATAATTTCATGCCGCCTTAACCAAACTCATCGGCGAAGAACACCACCACGCACAGTATATGGGATGGGTTAATCGACTAGGTCCCAACGCTTAACGATTTGAACAGAATGGTGACCGAGGACAGGAACACGAGATATACGAAATGCCCGGGCACGCAACAAGAACCAACGTTCCCATCAAACCGCCCCCTCCCCCTCCCCCTCGCCTTCACCTGGGACCGGCCTCTGCGCTAATGGACTCGACCGGCAGGGATGGTGCAACATCGAGTCGATCACACCGTTCAACAAAATCTCTACAAACGACAATCTGAACCCACGTCAGGGGCTGCTCTAAGTGGACTAGAACATGATACCGGAGCGCCCATGGAGGACAAAATCCTTAATTTTTGGTGCGAGTGGTGCACAGCCAGGTCAAGAACACATACACTGTAGCCGGGACGGTCGGCACTATGCAGCCGCAGGCACTCTGCGGATCGGAACAGCGAACGCCGGCAACGACACATTAGCCGGCAGCCGGGAGCGAGACAGACACACGGAACCGACCGGCCTGGCTACCCGAAAAACCATCAGGTACAGTTGCACAGCCGCTGAGTATGGAAGTGCGCCGGCTCTGGCAGCGTTGGGTCTGGATCGGATGACGCTGAGAGAAATTGCGTGGGGATCCCGGTAGAGTGCGGTAGACTGAACGGCGAGGACTGCATGCCAACGGCACGGCAGACTGCAGACCCACGACACGGCAAGACCGCAGACCCACGACACGGCAAGACCCGCAGACCCACGGCACGGCAAGGGCTGCGGACACACGACACAGCAAGTGCCGCAGACCTACGGCGCGACAAGGACCGCAGATCCACGGCACGGCAAGGACTACAGATCCACGGCACGGCAGAGACTGCAGACCCACGGCACGGCAAGCACTGCAGACCCACGGCAAGGTAAGAACTGCAGACCCACGGCACGGCAAGCACTACAGACCCACGGCACGGCAAGGATTGCAGACCCGTGGCACGGCAAGGACTACAGACCCACGGCATGGCAAGGACCGAAGACTGACGGCATGACGACTGCAGACCCACGGCACGGTAAGAGACGCCGAGCCGGGCCTTGTGCGCTGCAGAGGTCAGCCAGTCAGCTTACGTCTAAGTATGCCCCGAGCGCGACCGAACTTTCGTGTGGGCGATCGACGCCGGCGTCTGGATGGTCGTGCACTGAAGCTCCCTTAGTCAGTGGCTGGGCCCGACCACCAACCCCGAGGAGTGCCACCGACATCCCCCCCCCCTCTCCCTACCTACGCCACCCGTCCCGTCTCGCCACCCCTTCACTCAGGTGCTGAGCCCGACCACCATCCCTAGGGACAGTAACCCCCCCCCCCCCCTACCCCCCCCCCCCAGCCAGGCGCGGTCCCGGCGGAAGGGGCGCCGGGTCTCCTCTCGCCAGTTGGGTTCAGCAGGGCCGCGTCCCCTGAAGCCGGGTCCCAACGAGCGCTGACCACCGCCCCGGGCCCCACGGCCACAGTCGGCCGTCACGTTACCTCACCGATGAGACGAGAGCCGGCTGACAGTCCACGCACCGAGCGGCGCACGCAGTGCATGCCCCAGCCGCCCAGCACGTCTCACAAGCCAGCCGTAGGAATAAGACACGTGTATTTGTTACAAAAGGGCCGAGGCAGCCGTGTGGACGGGACACGCACGTGGTACGTGGCGGTGGACATGGGCGGACGTGCACGGCGCGCGGCATGCAAAGGTGGCTGGCAGCAGCAGGCGCGCCCGCTACACCGCGGTCCCCAGCGCCCGTGCCTGCCGAGGCACCACAGATGCCACACTGAAATGGTGTCCATGTTCACTGGCATCTTCTGCTATTCTACGGAGTTGCGCTCAAGTGAAATGTGACCGCAGAAGAGACGAGTTCAACGGGGTTGCCCAGATTAACCCTAATTTACTTCTAGACGTATGTGCCGACTACTGATATCCATAACAACTAATAGAGACTGGACAACGAAACCATCCATTATACGTAAGTTCGAGGCATTATCACTAGAACAACAGACTCAATACGATCGCGACTGCCAATAAATAAGAAAATAGCCAACATCTGAAACGGAATCTTAATCGCACAGCGTGACAATCACTCGCTCTCGTCATCGCCAGCTCACATGCCCTGCCTAACGCATCGCTCACTCTCCGTCTGGCACTCAACTGCCGCGGCCAAGCGTATTCACAAGTGCCAATTTCGCGCACTTGAAGTTCGCTCCCGCGCTCCCAGGTGGCTCTCAGCAGGCACAGCCACCCTCGGAGCCCTGTGTGAGGTCGATCTTCGGATCTTTGTCCAAGTAAACCTCGGTCACTACAGCAATAAATCAAGGAAATCAACGGAAACAAGCGAGCAAATTCACAACGAAACCATGAACATAATATGCTGCCGACGGGCCACAAATTTACCACCCACGAGTTCGTACTATTTATAAACACCGGGCGTTTAAGACGGCAACAGGCTTTTCGACAGCGTAAGTGTGCCTTGTACATGCATGCATATAAAGTTATGAACACATGTACATTATTCGCATCTCACACACAACCGTGCACACCGCACCCTGCCTCACATCCTATTTCTATGTCCCATGTACGCCATAATATCCCTCATCTCCATCCCTCCTACAAACCACATGAGACTGGGTCGCCTCACAATCAAGCAACTAAATCTCTACTCTGTCCAGAGCTTACGCGGCAGAGCTGATTTCCCCTGCGATTCGTTTCGTACGCTAAGGTCCAAACTTTACAGAAGCATCAACCATATCAAAGTTTAGACGTTACCGAGGCCAGCCGAGGCCAGGACACCACCCCACCCGACCTCAATATTCACATATATGCCTCCCCAGTGACCTTTCCACTTGTTCCACACGAACTAAACACAAATCCGTAGAAATTCATTGCAAACCAACTAAAACCCACGATAGAACACCGGTCTAGTTAGCACGTGCTGTGCACAGGAGAAGGGCTGCAGGAGTTGCGAAACAGACAGGTCCCGCCTGTCAAACCCGACCAGCCGCACGAGCACACCGCACCACACCCACGGAGAAAGCGCACGCCAGCGCCCCACCCACCGCACGTGCAAGCCACCACATGCAACCAGACGTCACTGCAAGCACAGGCAGTGCCCACAGATGGACCTAAAGGAGCAGCATGCTAAAACGGGAGTGCCGCGGCTCACTTACCGTAGCGCCAGCGCCGCCCGGCGAGCGTCGTGAGAACTAGACGGACGAGGCGTTGGGCGGCTGCCTCGCGCGCATGCCGTTAGAGCCGGGGTTAGGACACTGCTGGCACCCGCCTCCGAGACAGACCTGACCGCGCCTCAACGGGCGACCATCGATTAGCAAAGGCATAATGTGTCCAAGTATTCCCTGGGTTCGCTTTGCACCTATGTCCCGACCCGGCGGCGGCCGCGCCCGAGGTCAGCGGCGGTCGCGCCCGAGGCAAAGTGCAATCACGTCGGCGGTTCCCACCATAGGCGACGGAAGCTCTGGGACGCTGGGCTGCGTCGCCCCAGGAAACTGCGCGACAGTGTCCACAGTGGCCACCACGGTCCCATGGGACGCTGACGGGGCGTGGCCGTCGCTGCAGGACGGCGTTCGCTCTCCGGTGTCGCATTCCCCGCGTTTTCCCGTGTTCCGACACAGCCCGCCAGGCCGGGAGCAGGCTGTCGCCGTCAGCCGTCAGTCGGCCCCACAACCGCCACCGGTGGGAAGCCAGCCAGAGCGCACTAACAGCCCTGAACGCGATCATTCTCAGTCGCGATGATAACCCAGGAAGATAAGAACTGATGCACCCGTTCTTTCTCATCCCACGGCTCCGAAATCGCCAATCGTGGCCAAAACAGCTCTCGCCTAACCAAAGTAAATAATATCGGGCCCACCCTGACTGCCTCGCTGGGCCGCACCAAGGCTGACTGCCTCGCTCGACCGGACTCAGGATGACGGCCTCGCTCGGCCGGACCCAGGCTGACTGCCTCGCTCGGCCGGACCAAGGCTGATTGCCTCGCTCGGCCGGACCCACGCTGACTGCCTCCCTCAGCCGGACCCACCCTGACTGCCTCGCTCGGCCGGACCCACGCTGACTGCCTCGCTGGGCCGGACCAGGGCTGACTGCCTCGCTCAGCCGGACCCACCCTGACTGCCTCGCTCGGCCGGACTTACGCTGACTGCCTCGCTCGACCGGACCCACGCTGACTGCCTCGCTCAGCCGGACCCACCCTGACTGCCTCGCTCGGCCGGACCCAGGCTGACTGCCTCGCTGGGCCGGACCAAGGCTGATTGCCTCGCTCGGCCGGACCCACCCTGACGGCCTCGCTCGGCCGGACCCAGGCTGACTGTCTCGCTCGACCGGACTCAGGATGACGGCCTCGCTCGAGCGCTCGTCCAAATTCAAACACCTGCCGACCCGTAAACGGCGGCATGACCACAGGGCTCATCTGCCGACCGCGCCGCCACTGGCGATGCCGCGATCCATTGCAGCGCCGCGGCCCCTACGGTCCGCCGTGGGGCACGCGCGTGTCAGCCGGGCGGCCGGCCGTGTCGGCGCGTAGCCCGTCTGGGCGCGGCAGCGGAGGCGCTCTCGACGCGGGGAGAGGGCGAATGGACCGACCGCGCCCGGCCCAGTCCAGCCCCAGACGGGGTCGCGAGCAGCGGGCCGGGCGATACGAGCCGACCAGACCCCAGCCGCGTCCAGCCGACCCCAGGGTCACCGGGATCGCCGGCCGATGCTCGGGCCGGCAGTCACGGCGTCACAGCGGCCCAGTTTCGGCTGGATGCTGGGACTCAGCGCGGCTCGTACCACGTCAGCCAGACCAGCAACCGCATCACCGCACCTCAGCCAGATCAGCAGTCGCATCCACTGTACGTCAGCCAGATTAGCAGTCTCCCCACTGGTACCTCAGCCAGACCAGCAGTCGCACCAATGTACCTCAGCCAGATCAGCAGCCTCACCACTGCACCTCAGCCAGATCAGCAGCATCATCGCTGTACCTCAGCCAGATCAGCGGCCTCATCACTGCACCTCAGCCAGATCAGCAGTCGCATCACTGCACCTCATTCAGATCAGCAGCCTCATCACTGCACTTCAGCCAGATCAGCAGCCTCATCACTGCACCTCAGCCAGATCAGCAGTCGCATCACTGCACCTCAGTCAGATCAGCAGCCCCATCACTGCACCCCAGCCAGATCAGCAGCCCATCTCGGAGGGCGAGATGCTCAGAAGACATCGTATAAAAGAGGACTGGAGCAGACATGGCCCGCACTGAGGATCCAAGCCAAACCGGTCATTTGTTTCGGATTACAGAAAGTGTTTGCTGATGACTTCATCGGAGCCCACCCATTCCGTATGCACGAGAACGCTGGAACCGCCGACGGCGGCGAGTAAATGGTGGCCATGTTCTCTATTCTGAGCCACCAAGCCGTGTTGAACACCAACGATTAGCACAAATATGATGGCAACGCAGTTTCCACCTAGTGCAAACAAACTTCAGCAAATTGTTACCGACATTGTTAGTATCCACGGCGAACACATCACGGCACGTTGGTCGGCGAAAAGAAAAGCAAGAGGCGACCCGAAAGTTACCAACGCTGATGCAAAGTTAGACCACTAACATTAAACAAAAAAGGGGCACAAGTCAGCGTTCCTTAAATGACAGACATGCATGAAGTCCCCGTTAAGCGAAACACCATGAATTACTACTAACACCACCTTGTGAAGCCCGTCAAACATGCCACAACCCACAGCATTTGGCTGCGTGAGACCGTCTGCGCACCCGCTCATACCCATGGTTATCACTCATAGATTGCTTGTGGCTGTGACAGGCTTTTCACACTATGTCACTTATGATTGCCTCCTTGTATTACTTTGGAAAACCTCCGCCTCGCCCAATGGCCTAACACCAGCCCTTCCTTACGCGAATAAATCGCGACACAATTTCATTAAAAAGAAGCGGAACCCAGGTCTGCCTTGCAGCCCCACACCGCAATAATCTATCTACTCGTTAAAGGCAATGCTCCACATTTGAAGATATTGAAGCGCGCATCACACGTGACGAAATAAGCTAATTTACAACCATTGACATGCTTCTAAGCGGATAAGACTTCTCAAGACAACGCAATTTCTCTGTTTAGCTCCTCCATACGCTGTGGTTTGATTGCGTCATCGTACCTTAAACAACACTGATTGAGAGCCAATTGACGACCGTTATATCTTGAAATCGAACTCTAGAACGCCGGATATGCACGACTCCACAGTTATAGTTTTCTTGGCCTTGATCGCCGGATGGCTAATAGAATGACAGGATTTGAGTGACGTTCTTATGATATCATGGATGCCTGGGTGACCTTGAAAGAGTCTCTCCCAAAACGTATGTATATCTTCACGGCCGTATAGCTCAGAAACACATCGGGTTTAGGCCTTAAGAAGGGCAGGGCTGTGAACAGCACCGAATGATTTTCAGGATGCCTATTTCAGTTCAAAATCCCATAAAAATGTGCCAAACTTTCTTTAAGACGGCGGCAGCTAGACGACATAAAGTCGCCACCCGCAACCCGCGGAGCCCAGCTGAGGCTGCTAAAAGGATACTGTCGTCGCCCTTCTTGGTTTCCGAAGACTCCATGCCGGGCAGGGCGGCGGCCACGCGACGGAACAGCTGAAAAAAACGGAACGAATTGTCAGCACATCACAGACAGACAGCCGGCTCCAGCGGACGAAAGGACGGACAGCGGAGTCCAGCAGAAAAAGAACAGAGAGCGGGCTCCAGCAGACGAACGGACAGACAGCCGGCTCCAGCAGACAAACAGACAGACAGCCCGCTCCAGCAGAAAAAAGGATAGAGAGCGGGGTCTAGCAGACGAACAAACAGACGGCCGACTCCAGCGGTCGAACGAACAGACAGCGGGCTCTACCAGACTAAAGGACAGATAGCGGGCTCTAGCATACGAACAGACAGACAGCCGGCTCTAGCAGACGAACGGACAGACAGCCGTCTCCAGCAGACGAAAGGACGGAGAGCGGGCCCTAGCAGACAAAAAGACAGAGTGGGCTCTAGCAAACGAACAGACAGCCGGCTCCAGCAGACAAACGGACAGACAGCGGACTCCAGAAGAAAAAAAGGACAGAGAGCGGGCTCCAGCAGACGAACGGACAGACAGCCGGCTCCAGCCGGCGGACAGAACGGACACTAGCAGACAAAAGAGGGCGGGCTCTAACAGACGAACAGACGGACAGCAAATCCAGCGGGCGAACGGACAGACAGCCGGCTCCAGCAGACATGCGGATAGACAGTGGGCTCCAGCGGACGAACGGACAGACACCGCCGCCGGTACCCACACTCACCTACGTCCCCCCCCCCCCACACGTGACTCGGTGTCATTAGTCACCCGTGACGCGTGACTTATCATTGTTAGCCGAGTGGTGTCCGTCGGTGGGCGGTCGCTCTGTGGGCGCGATATGGCAACCGGCCGCGGCCGGCTGCCGAGAAGCGGGTGGGTTGCGGAGGGTTGCCGAGAAGTGGGTGGGCCGCGGAGAGCTGCCGGGGAGCGGGCGGGCCGTGGAGAGCTGCCGGGGAGCGGGCGGGTCGCGGAGGGCTGCCGGGGAGCGGCCGGGCCGTGGAGGGCTGCCGGGGAGCGGGCGGGCCGTGGAGGGCTGCCGGGGAGCGGGCGGGCCGTGGAGGGCTGCCGGGGAGCGGGTGGGCCGCGGATAGCTGCTGGGGAGCGGGCGGGCCGCGGAGGGCTGCCGGGGGGCGGGCGGGCCGTGGAGGGCTGCCGGGGAGCGGGTGGGCCGCGAAGAGCTGCCGGGGAGCAGGCGGGCCGCGGAGGGCTGCCGGGGAGCGCGTGGGTCGCGGAGGGCTGCCGGGGAGCGGGTGGGTCGCGGAGAGCTGCCGAGGAGCAGGCGGGCCGCGGAGAGCTGCCGGGGAGCGGGCGGGCCGTGGAGGGCTGCCGGGGAGCGGGTGGGTCGCGGAGGGCTGCCGGGGAGCGGGTGGGGCGCTAAGAGCTGCCGGGGAGCGGCGGGGCCGTGGGGGGCTGCCGGGAAGCGGGCGGACCGCGCTCCCCTGGCGCCACGTCGCTGTGGGGACCGGAGAGAACTGCCCTCTCGCTGACCGACCTCCGCCAGAGCTCACCGACCGACAGACGGCTACACGGCTCACGGCTCACGCAGAAACACGGACCCTCTCTCGAACTGTACATGACCTTCACCAAAAATCACATTCTGACGCGTCGACAACGTTAGGGGGAATACTTTCACTAAGTCTTCCGCTTTTGGCCACTATACGAGTCATACTGTCAATACACAATATCCACCAAGTCAGTAAACTATATGATGACGTGTCGAGGTAAGCCCATATTGCAGCGCGCAAGTTATTACCCAGCCAACCGCCATCGGGGACTGAGACATAAGCTGCGACTTAACCAACTTAAGCAAAAAGCTTTTCGGAGTTCGTTACTAGGATCGAACAACTCACCACCATGCGTGGAGTGGTTCTTATCGGAGCTCCTTCCTTAGAAGCTGACGGCACGCCTTGTTTTAAAGTGATAAACAAATTCAGAGTGTACGATCATGGCCACAAGTGACCTGATACTGTTTGCTGAACACAAAATGGGGCCCCAGGCCTAGGGCGATTTAACATTTCACTTCTCGGCAACGAAGCCTTCGTGGACTTTTTCAGAGCGGCAGCTGAGAAGGCATAGCGAAAAATGACGTACACCAAGGCGTTACTGCGGAAATGTTGCTGGATAGTTTGCTAAGCCAGCTCCGAGCAATGACTATCAGAACAGGTACACAGATAGCAAGACAAAAACAACCAGAAGACATATTACATGGTTAATAAAACTTCCGAATCTGTTGGCTGAAAGGTCACAGATGTGTTCGTAAACAACTACCAGGCCTTTGGGGACCAGCATCACTGCCTTAAGGAAGAAATAGGTAGAATAGCAATCACGAAATAAGATAGAATACCGATAACTGTTCACGAGTGACATGGTGCAAGACAAAAATAAAAGAGATAAAACAGAATAGCAATAAATGTTCCCGGGTGACATGGCGCAAGACAGCTCGCGCTTCGTGAGAAATGAACCAAACATTTTCTAGGTCTATGTAACTCACGCTCCGCACCATCACACACGAGAGTGCCTTCGACAGATCCAGATGCAACTGACTGGAAGTAGACGATTATGTCATACTGTGAGCCCTACTTTAAACAAATATACGGCAGGACAGACTAAATAGCTTCGCGCTGAAATTTTTTAAGAACTTAGACGTGCTACTACTGGCCGAGACTAAGAGAGCTGGAGAACCACTTATGTATTCATCATATCACTTTCGAATAAGGCTAGCTTTAGATGTCCCAGAAAATGACAAGACGCCTTCAGTTTCTGGTATCTCAAAGGAATTTTAGTTATATCTTTCAATGGCCAAGAACATCTGCCGTTGCTGATTTCAAACGAGGCAAAAGGAAATAGTGTTGATTGATTTCCCACTCCATGGCGACAGATTGTCACTGATCATCCCAAAAGAGGGCAAGTCGCTTGAAGAATAAACGCCCTGCCACGCATCTCACCAGACAGCAGCGAACTATTAGCTAATTCGTTAGCAGAAGAAATGCACGCAACTGACAACGAAGATCCGAGAGCAATGATTCGAGACAGATATATTGGGGGGAACACCATGGCAATTGCTGACATTGCTATTAATGTCGTATCGAAATGTGTGAGTGGTATATTTCTGGCCCTTATTTTCAAAATGCTCAAAATTCAGTTGAGCACAGGATTATTTTTCAAAGATTTACAGCCTAACAACCTTCCGAGAGCTTAATTGAGTGGCCTGAGCTTTTGTGCCACAATAAGACGGCAGTCATAAACAACGGCTATACATCTCGGTTGTTTGCGGCCTCGAGAAAAATTCCACAGAGCTGTTCAATGTCAACCAGGACCGTCACATTTGTGATTGAAACATTATCCAAGCAAATTCAGGGAAAACAACATGCAGGATATAACCATCGAACATACCGAATGTAGTCACTTTATGAGGATGATATGGTTCTTTTGAACATTACAACCAATCTGTAGAAGCATTTGCGCAATCAACTTGTTTGAAAGACAATAAGGCCACAACCTCACCTGCAAATAGTACTTTTAGGACTACCAAGGACCACTACGGCCTTTTATTTACCTAATATCACACAAATCCGTCGAGAGGAAATCTAAAATAACAGGAATACCCCCCTCCCCCCCCCGCTCTGGGCGGGGGGGAGGGGGGGGGGGGGGGGGGGGCGCCGCTCGGATGCGTCAGCGCGCTGTCCGGCCATCGCCTGCCATCCGCTCCACCACCGGTTCACACTGACTATTTTGGTACCGCGGACATTCTGACAATGTAGCCACTTGTACAATCATCACAAACGGCTGCCAATCCATGGCTCGCACATTGTGGAGTGGCGTGTCACGAACTGTACATCTGGGAAATATGGCGGGGCTTGGCGAGCCGGCGGCGTGGAATGTGATCAACTCCAACATGGTGATGTGTATGTGCGCATGCGTGCTGGATGTTTAATCTTACAATATGTTTAAAGCGAGTAAAAAGCGAAGGACTCCACGTAAGGCCCAGACATGCGTCTGGAACTCAGAAAAAGAGGACTTCTCAACAGAATCTTTATCCCCAACATACTTCAAACAAATATCACAACGATCCAAGAGCTAAAAGATGCTTCCGCCAAAAACCAAATAGGTTCTAAAAATCTAGCAAGATACATGATTCAATAATACCAAAAGTTATCCCGGTTTTCAGTCGATCCTTTACAAGCTTTATGGAATGGCAGGCCTGGGAGTAAACATAACTACCAAATCATCGCACAACATTTAAGCAAAATGCGCACTTAATAATAGTGGCTTGTGTAAAATGTTACAGATTCTAGAGTAACAAAAGTTAGTAAAAACAAAATACACACACCATCAGATCACGCAGCTTCAAGGTCTAGGCAGTTCATCAGATTTTGGGACTTGTCTGGCCTAGGACTCGGTTCATCCACCAATTAGGCTGTTGGTCATTATCAAATGGTTACATTTAGTCATGTTCATGAGCGAAGGACTTCACGTGGGACCCAGAAATGCATCTGGATCTAAGACCAGTCCACGCATACCAAACCTAGGCCTCGTTCATGAAATTTGTAGATAAGAGTCCAGATGATTAAGTCATTCCAAAAACATACACCAGGCAAAATCAAAGACAGGTGGCTGGTTGCGTACACCAACGAATAATGCCGGCGGACGTCCATAGTTTCGTCGATATTTCTCAGGCGTGCGGCAAAGTAGTGTGTCTTCACCACAGACCAAGGTCGTTGCTGTCTAATTCCCCACAATGGACTTGGCGCCCAGTATTTAACGACTGGCAGGTGCGTTATGTTGTAGCATTTATATAAGGCATAATGTGATAAAAAATGTTGTAACTGTAATCCAACTGCAACAGTAGGCTACGTCTCTTTACGACCCGCCACCACTTCCCTGCGGCCTGCCTGCAGCCGCGTGGCCGGAGGCGCGCAGTGCAAAGAGCGGCCGGCTAGCCGGTGCGACTCGTGGCCTCCGAGTATCCGGTCAGGTTATCTCGGAGGTCACGACCTTGCCCGCGCACCGCCCGGTCCATCCCGACCACGCGCGACGCGGCGCGTGGTCGTGTCAGATTGCACCGCCGCTCCGCACTCTGCGATGCTCGACACTCGACACTCTTCGACACTTTGACACGGCACGCGAGGGCGGCCAGACTGGCGCCGCCCACTCGGGTTCCAGCCGCGCCAGCGGCCGGCAGCGCCGGGTCCGGGCGCGGAGACCCGGCCAGCTGCCCTCGGTCGGCCGAGACGCGTGGCAAGGCCACCAGACCGCGCCCCACGGCCCGCTGCAGCTGGCTCACCTGTTTGACGTTGTAGCCAGCCTTGGCGCTGGTCTCGATGAACATGACGCTCAGCTCCTTGGCCTTGCGCTCACCCTCCTCGGTGGACACCTGGCCGGTGACACAGGTCAGACAAGTAAGGCAGGCGACGAGCTAACGCATGTGACACCGGTCTGACTGACGAGTGGTGATGAACCATACACCGCGCCAAATTCTTAAGATGGTGGTGGCGCAAAACGGGTCAAACATGTAACACGGATTACGAGGGCTTCCCCGGCCATACCCCGCCATTTCACAGCAGCCTCGCAGTGTCGAGACTGCGCCACAATGCATCTGTCTAGTCAACCAGCGAACAAAATGACTCAACAACACATATCTGACCGCGTATGGCCGCCGGGGCTCTGAGCGTCAGGGGACGTCGCTGGGCTGTTCCGGTATAACGTGCGGTGATATCGGAATCACGTTGCGCGCTCATCAACAGCTCTTGGCACGGCCAACGGCGAGGCATCGTCCTGGCAAGGCACGGAGCCGCAACGGCTGCGACTTCCAACACAAGGCCGATCGGCCTGACTGGCCGCGCCCAAGCAGCTACACACCGGCAGGGATCAACCTGACTGACCATAGCCCAGCAGCTGCACACTGGCAGGGATCGGCCTGACCGGCCATAGCCCAGCAGCTGCACACTGGCAGGGATCGACCTGACTCCAAAGCAGCTGCACACTGGCAGGGATCGGCCTGACTAACCAGAGCCCAGCAGCTGCACACCGGCAGGGATCGGCCTGACTGACCATAGCCCAGTAGCTGCACACTGGCAGGGATCGACCTGACTCTAAAGCAGCTGCACACTGGCGGGGATCGGCCTGACTAACCATAGCCCAGCAGCTGCACACTGGCAGGGATCGGCCTGACTGACCATAGCCCAGTAGCTGCACACTGGCAGGGATCGACCTGACTCTAAAGCAGCTGCACACTGGCAGGGATCGGCCTGACTAACCATAGCCCAGCAGCTGCACACTGGCAGGGATCGACCTGACTCCAAAGCAGCTGCATACTAGCAGGGATCGGCCTGACTGACCATAGCCCAGCAGCTGCACACTGGCAGGGATCGACCTGACTGACCATAGCCCAGCAGCTGCACACTGGCAGGGATCGACCTGACTCCAAAGCAGCTGCACACTGGCAGGGATCGGCCTCACTGACCATAGCTCAGCAGCTGCACACTGGAAGGGACCGACCTGACTCCAAAGCAGCTGCACACTGGCAGGGATCGACCTGACTGACCACACCCAAGCCGCTGTACGTTGGCAGGGACTAGCCTGACTGGCCACACCCAAGCAGCTGTACACTGGCAGGGATCGGCCTGACTGACCATAGCCAAGCAGCTGCACACTGGCATGGGCGTTCAGTGGCTACGTTTCATCCCGGCCCATTAAGCCTCGCTTTAGCTGTTGACAGGGACGACAGCACGGGCCGACGGGCACATTAAAAACTCAGGCTCACACAAGCGGCTGGTGTTCCCCCGTGCCGCATGGCCACAGCGCGTGAGCGCACGCACTGAGGCGTCAGCCGACGCCGCGTTATCGACATCTGCCAAGTAGTGCTCAATGGTGGGCGCCACACAATGAAAGCGACCCATACCCGATGCCGTCACACAGAACCCGCCCTGCTGGACTAGGAATACTCCTCACGCTAAAATAGATCTTTGAATACAAGTGGCCACGCGGCATCACATGGGGCTCAGCTTATGCACATTCTGATACCACAGAAAAACAAATGCAACATACGTTTAAATAGTGAGAGGAAGATCAGATAATTGTAACATTTCATACATTGACTAGACGTCAGCCACCAACAACTGTTCTCCAGGTACACTTGCCAGAAAGTACCATCGCCCGGTGAATCACATTGTGACATTAGTATGGATTGGCTACTACTGGGCAAAAGGGAGGTCATACGACACAGACTCGATGCTACCGGAAAAAAGGGAGATCACATGGCACATGCCGACTGCTACCCGGGAAGACCGGAATCATATGGCACGAACTGGCTGCTAACGGGGAAAAAGGGATCACATGACACGAACTGGCCACTACCGAGGAAGATGGAGATCATATGAAACGGACTGGCTGGTACTGGGGAAGATAGAGATCATATGGCGCTGACTGGCTGCTACCGGGAAAGACGGAGGTCATATGGCGCTGACTGGCTGCTACCGGGAAAGACGGAGATCATATGGCGCTGACTGGCTGCTGGCGGGAAAGATGAGGATCATATGGCGCTGACTGGCTGCTGGCGGTGGAGACGAAAATCATATGGCACTGACTGGCTGCTACCGGGAAAGACGGAGATCATATGGCGCTGACTGGCTGCTGGCGGGAAAGATGAGGATCATATGGCGCTGACTGGCTGCTGGCGGTGGAGACGAAAATCGTATGGCACTGACTGGCTGCTACCGGGCAAGACGGAGAGCATTTGGCACACCATGACGCATGCCCCCTCCCCCCCCCCCCCCCACCCCGTACCAGCCGGGGATGGGCACAGCATGGCATGCAAAAGCGCTGTCGACGTGTGTTAAATAACATGCGTCTCAAAAAGACGGGCTATACATCCCACAGCAGTGACGTGCATAGCTGACATCATTTCACATTTTGGGCGTGAAATGGTTTGTGGAAATTGGTTTTCCGCGGTGCGGTGCTGGGGCGATAATTAAAACGTCAGCTTTTGGTCTCTGTAGCTCAGCTGGTGGGACGAGACCACTGACAAGCGTGCCGGCATGCGAGTTCGAGCCCCAGAAACCGCCGCGGCGGCGTATCTTTGGCGGTCCATTGGCAACTGGCCAAGAGAGCTACAGCGACAATGATCGTTAACTTGAAATCGCGCTGCTAAGGAGACATATGGGTCTTCGCACGAGCTATTTTTAACAGCGATTGCTAAGTCGTCCCTGCGCACCCTAGCCAAATTTCTTAAAAACAGCAATCCAAGTTGGTAAATTAGTTTATATAAAGTAAGCATTCTGTTGGACGGCATCACAAACACATCCAAACCACCGAGCACCCCAGAACGAAAACTCTTGATCAACCTTCGGAAGACATCTCCGTCGTTCTACATCGAACCCCATGCAAGCCCCACCTCAGGTACGGCATCATCTGGCCAAACGCACACCGAGCTGTTAGTGGCGCAGTCCGTCAATGCTCACCAGCTGTCCCAATTCGGGTGGCGTAACGCATCTAACCGTTCTGAACCTTCCACCAATCCGCATAACACGGAGCTCACACTCCTGGCTCATCAGCCTCTACCAACGCGGGGAAACACTCGAGTCCCAAGCGAGGTTCCATCACTGGCCCTAACCCACCGGCGCCTCTGTCCCACGGTGATCACCCTGCTGATCCATCCAACGCCCCACCAGTCCATTCAGTACCACGTGGTCCACATCGCCGGCTCGAATGTGGCGGTCCTACAGGGAGGCACTAGCCGGACCCACCTGCCGTTTGTCGGACAGATCCGTCTTGTTGCCGACCAGCATGATGATGACGTCACTACCTCGCTCCGTCCTGACGTCATCGATCCACTTGGAGGTTTGGTGGAATGAGTTGGCGTCTGCCAAGCAACGTGGGTGGTTAGGGCGCCGCTGGGTCTGGAGGGGGAGGGGACGGTCTGCAGCTGTCCAGTTCGGGCACGGGGCACTGGGCACGGGCACGGGGCACGGGGCACGCCCCATCCCCCGACGGTCGATCAATTTGAAGAAAAAAAAGCGACTGATCGCGCGAGACGCGGCGACAAAACCCACTGGGCGCGGAAACGTGACCTGTGAGACCAGTCCTGGTACGCGCAGATTATTGTTTCACCAAAAAAGCATGTTAGGCAGGAGCGGAAAATAAGGAAGAGAATTTGGTGCTCGTGCGCAACATCCAACAGCTGAGAGCATCGGAGTCGTCCGCATTAAAGGCCTGACCATTGACCCAGTGTCCAGCCTCGGTAGAAGTCGACAAGGCATTTGCAAATATGACCTCAAGTAAAACACCACACCGAACGTTGGGGGCGGAGAGGACTGACGCTGGGCCAAGCCTTTTGTCGCCGTGTACACGCCAGCAGTCCTTCAGAAATGCGAATAACATTCGTTACGGTTCATTTTCCCATCTCCCTACCGTCGAAACATGCTCGTACGACTCACAAAAAGACAGCGTCATAGTGACCCACACTTGGATGCATTCTGACTACCTGACCAAACGTCTTAACCTCAATGCACGCAAACGAAGCCCGCCAATATTGAGCGACACCTGACCAGTGCCGGGTTGAGGGCCCAGCCCTGAGCCGCCGCGGTCACACCAATGCCGGTGTGTCATCGTGCTCCGCCGGGTCAGCCGGGTGCCGGCTCGATCGATTCCAGCAGGCCGGCCGCCGCGGGCGCGGCTCGGCCGGCGGTCTGATGTCGGCGGTCCGACAGCAGGGCGGGGCCCGCCGAGAGGGCGGCGATCTGATGTCGGCGGCCCGAAAGCACGGCGGCGGTCTGATGTCGGCGGTCCGACAGCAGGGCGGGGCCCACCGAGAGGGCGGCGATCTGATGTCGGCGGCCCGACAGCAGGGCGGCGGTCTGATGTCGGCGGTCCGACAGCAGGGCGGGGCCCGTCGAGAGGGCGGCGATCTGATGTCGGCGGCCCGACAGCAGGACGGCGGTTTGATGTCGGCAGTCCGACAGCAGAGCGGGGCCCGTCGAGAGGGCGGCGATCTGATGTCGGCGGCCCGACAGCAGGGCAGCGGTCTGATGTCGGCGGTCTGACAGCAGGGCGGGGCGCGCCGAGAGGACAATGCTTACATGCCGCTTAAGACGGGGTAATCAGACAGAAGAGCAGGGCCGCCCGGCGAAGAGGTTACGAACCGGCTGTCAGCCACTCACTGGTGATGTCGTAGACGACGACGGCGACCGTGGAGTCACGTATGTAGGAAGGGATGAGGCTGCGGAAGCGCTCCTGGCCGGCCGTGTCCCACAGCTGCAGTCTCACCTGGGCGGCGAGCGCGACGGATCACCACTGGGCTCACGGCGCTCAGAGACCGGCCCGCCCACAGACAGTCAGACAGGACACCATGCTAACGTAAACACCCGCCCGTGCCGACCACGGCCAGCGGAGGGCGCACAGGCGATAAGGTGATGACGTCAGGCGTGTGGCCAGAGGTGACCCCACACCAGCTGCCTCCGCGCCGCCGGTCAGCCCGGCTGGACGGCGCGTGGCGCCCGGTCTGCCAGACAATGGTGACGGCGGCACGGCACCGCGCCCCGACAGCGCACGCCACCAGCCGCACGACACGACAGGGCAGCATCCTAACGTTAAGACGCTATTTTACATGCAAAAATCCTGAGAAACATTTGCAAAATGTTTGCATGATCTTGGCTCCTCCAAATCGTTACATAATTCTCACGCGCGTACAGTGGGTCGTACCGCGAATGCACAGCGGACTGAAAGACACTCACCGTTCGATCCTCCAAATACATCGTTTTTGAAAGGAAGTCAATGCCTATGGTGGCCTGCAAATAGAGCGATACCCGTCAGAGGATGTCAAAGAACACCGGCAAGTATGGGTATGTTTCCTGTAATGGAATGCTTGCCTATGGCTTTATTTCGGTTGCAAAAGCCAGGGGCTTATTCGAAACACAACCCTGTCCATTACATTCGCACCTCGAAAATTCAGTTACTAACGCAGCAACGTGGGCCGTTTCAAGACTTGTAGAGGGAAATGAGCACCTAATGAAGGCAAACCGCTGCGAGTCTAATGTTACAAAGCAAACCACCTGAGGTCGTCACTTTATGAGCATACTACAAACGTCCTCTACGCACCCAACGTTGTAATGTTTTCATGTCATATCTTGACAAAACGACAGTAAAACTGCCAACGTTCTAATGTTTTTATGTGATATATTAACAAAACGACAGTAAAACTAAAACTATCATTTCTACACACGATATACCCATCAATGAGCTATTAATTTTGGCATCTAATAAACAGCATTGCCTAAACTGATATTCAGACCGTACGCCGTCGCATTAACACGCATTTTGACATATATTTCGAGCAGATGAAGGCATTTCTACAAAAAAGAAATGTTGCTACCATCGGACTTACATATATCGTCCCGATCTATCCGTTCCTGAAACTAACTTGATTCTTAGAAAAGAAACGCAAAATTTGGTACAAAAGTGTGGTAACACATCCTGCCTTTTTAATCAGATCTATAATTGATTACAAAATGTCAGGTTCTACGTGCTATCTCCAACAAAGTCTGGCAGCATGGGCCCTGATTTTACAAACACTAGTGAACCGTTTTGAGCCAAATTTTCGAGTAAGGGAACAAAAAGTGAGAACGCCTGGTGATTACAAAACATTGCATCACTTACAATTCCTCTGTTTACGTTGTTTACAAAAATGAGTGCATGACCGTCAAAAAGAAATGGAGGGCCAAAACAGGACAACAAGGTACCAGCCGTAAATGGCTCATGTCAATACCTGATATGTGTTGTCAAAGCTGTCATACATGAACCTTGTGATGAGAGACGTCTTCCCGACTGAAAAACGGCAGGCACGGTCAAAGAAGCCCATTGGGCATAACCACAACAACATCCGAGCTTGATTCAGCTAGCAAATCAAATGTTATAGAGTGGTTGCCGGGTGAACGGACAGCAATGGAAGCACAAAGCACCCATTTGGCAACAATTCTGCATGGATAAGTAAATGGGAGCAAAGTACATCTACTTCGCAATATGACCAAAGATGATTATTACCAGCTGTCAATAACAGACAAAAGGGCACCATATCACACACACACACACACACACACACACACACACACACACACACACACACACACACACACACACACACACACACAACACACACCACACACACACACACACACACACACACACACGCACCACGCACACGCGCACGCACGCACACACACACACACACCACACACACACACACACACACACACACACACACACACAAGCGCGCACACGCGCAGGCGCACGCACACGCACACGCACGCGCACACGCACACGCGCACACGCACGCGCACACGCAAACGCACATGCATGCAACTCATACACAGTGTGAAAAACATGACTTTAAACCATGCACACTATGATTTGGGAAACATGCTACCTCCTTGTCCAACAAAAAAACTATGATAAACATGCACTGAAAATCCCTGACCTAGGAGGTGTGTATATGCATGTCTAGGGTTTTATATTTATTGAACAGGAAAGCCTTGAGTAATGGGCTTTGCTGTTTTTAGATGACATGGATGAATGCTAAAACTGTGCACACATCACAAAAATCAGTACAGGATTAGTACTTGACTTCTGATCTAGCTGTGATTAACCACAAAATTAGTCAAACTTTCAATGGCTTGCATGCAAATGGTGCAAATGTTTCCACTGACAAATAAGTAAGTTAAGATCATGCATCATCCAACTATTTCAGTTGGAATCATTGACAAATCAATTGGAAATTGAGTATATCTCAAATCTGATATTTCCATTCAGCTGCTCACATGGGCAGCAAATGGAACACCACAGAACTGCGAATTGTTGCATTCTTGACAATATTAACACAAATGAGCTACACTAGCCTGATGTTGTTAAATGAATATCATTTCCTAATCTACTGCATTGAGAAATGAATCAACTGGATGACATTACCACTTCAGTTGCAGCTTGGAAATATATTCAAGCTTGTTAGTTTATATGGCATATTTGTAGTCATAACATGCATAATAAATGCTTCTATAATGCAGTGCCATTTCAAATAGCTCTAAAATCTTAACATGACATTCACTAATGTAGAGCAATACATTCTCCAGTTTTATGCTTGTTCCTGCATTAATCAAAATAATGCTGATCTTGATGTGTAGCAAGCCAAACAACTATAACTTGGAGAAATACGGGTGTAATTGTAAACCTGACAGCATACATACTTGGAAAATTAAGCAAAAGTTGACCTGGCCACAGTTTGGTCACCAAATGTTTCATGTTCAGTGCACCACATAATTAAAGTATCTTACATAGTGGATTGACTTGTAACACACTGTGCTGCACATGGGTCCTACCTAAAGGTGAGACTGGAAACAAAATGAGCTATAGGACATGAGGCATATATTCAAAGAAATGATGCATAAAAATATGTGCAAAAACATGCCTGAATATACAAGGCACAATGGTGACATCACAGCAACAATTTCAGTGCATGTATGTCATAAACCTGAGCACATATCAGAGAAGAGTTCAATATGACACCACCACCAATTTCAGCATGGGCAGCTAGTATTTCAAGGCATTACAATGCTGCAAAGGTAATTTTAAGTCAGGCTGCAAAAATAAATGTCATGCCAAACATGTTGGCATAACAGAAAATTGTGGTAACAATTTTGGCACATCTGCATTGTGAATACAGGACCTCAGAATTTGGTGCACGGTGTGAAGCAATTTCAATGCATGAAAAACCAATATTCTTAAGGACATTTACCATAACTCCTCAAGCTTCAGTGTGCATTAGTGTTTGGTATTCCCTTAGGGTAGCAGATAAACTTATTGCTGATTGGACCTTACTCAGAAAATATTAATTTTCAGAAATTGTTTGAAAATTTGGCATTTATTATTTATGATATGTCCTGCCTTAAACACGACGAGTGGTGTACAATGATTTTTTCTAACGTTAGGTGGGAAAGTACACCCTGACCCATTCAATTGTCTTAGACTGGCTGTAAGGTAATGCTATAAATAAAAAAAATAGAGAGCACAAGCACTTTGCCAGAATGATATGTGGCAAACACACATTTAAAGGCAAAACATGGCTCTTGATGACTAATCAAGTGTTCAGATGCATTCCATATGCATGCTTCAATCTCAACTGCAGTACTTACCGCTCTGTTCACCAAGAAAGACAAGCTTGAATTTCCGAAGGGGGTTCCCGAAGTCACCGGAAGTAGACATGCTTCAGGTGTTGTCTAATGAACTCGGAGCAATATCTTAATAGTGATATGAGCGAGCAGACGCAACTGTCAGGGATGGGCGGAGCAGATGAAACACTTGGAAAACAGAACACTTTTGAGGCCTTCCCCTGCCCTTTACCATCCAAATTACTGCCAGCCGATTTCAGCAGATTGAACACTCCGTCTACCTTGCTGCCTGGTCAAGTGCACTCAATACCTTACTTCTCCACCCTAAAACTCAGCCGGAGAATTCGCGCAACCCCAAGTCCACACCCAAAAACAAACACCGGCGAAAACGCAGCACCCAATGTCTCTGGGTTTTCCTTATCCCAGTAGCTGCCAGATCGCCACGTTCTTGATGATGCTGTGACGGTCAAATGTTTCACCTGTCCCAAAAAATAAATTGAGTATTAGGGTTTATTTTTTAGCTTTTATGGCTTCATTGCGATATAAAATGAAAAATATTCGGTTCAGTCATACTTTAGTATACAAAAAAGTGGAAAAATGCCGAATCATATTTTCTTCCCCTACTTTTCCTTCACGAAGTGCATGATATTTTTTCTTGCGTAGGACAATATATGGTAGCAGTGGAACCGTGAGAACAACATGGCAAGACTACAATGATATTTTTGGCGTATTAATATTTATTTACATAAAAAGAACATTATGTAAAAAACTGTACAACATAGACGTTATTTTAAGTTTTATCTAGCTTTATATAAATATTTCTACCTAAAACCATCTATTTCTTCTGTAATAATCTTCAACTTATTAATGAAACGTCATCAAAATAGGGTCAATATAGGAATGGTAAAAACCTTGACAACAGCTGACAATGACCGTCTAAGTGGCGCACATACAGAGCACACTTAATCGTGAGCAAGCTTTAGAGATCTGTATGCGAAACAACTCATTGACAGTTTTTATGGTCGGCGATTGGGTGGTCTGTCAGTCAAGAAAATGGAAGAATGTGATTAGCATTTGATAAAGAGGCTTGCTGGTGATCAACCTGGAAACCTGTTGCGGCAAAAATGATTTTTTGACGGACTTTGACATCACGTTTACCGTTATGTTTGTGCCCACGGACGGGCAATGTATTGAGCCTTGGAAAGCGTACTACTTAGTATAAAATAGAAAACATCAGATGGCATTTGTTATCAATTGTGAAGACAAGCCGCTGCGCAAGTCGAGACTCGGACCGCCTGATGTGTATCCCCAAGAGCCAAAGCAAAAAGAGGTGAGACCTGAATGATGGGTTTGAAATGTTATGGAAGACAAGAGGGAAAGAATAGCTCCATAGCCTTAACCCATGATTTTCAAAATATTCTTTAAAAGGAGGCTGCAGAGGCATTATGGATTAGGCTGTTTTCTGGGTGCTGGCTTTCACAGATGATAAGTCTTTACCATTGGTCAGTCAACCAGTCAGATAATAACAGCTTGTTTGTTCTAGCTAGTTTGGGTCAATAAGTACAAAATGCACCAGGAAACCCATATTTTCATTATTGCAATGTTAAGGATTAGGAAATGTTTCTTGTTTGTGCATAACAAGCAGTGCTGTTTGTTATGAAGTGAGGGGGAGGGGGAGGGGGAGAGGGAGGACTTTTTATTGCAAGATAAATTTGTAGCATACAAAAGACAGATGCTGTATAAACACAGTTTGGAGGCCGTTTGTAACACACATGATCGGAACGTTTAAGGAGGCTGCTTGAATCCCTCTGACCAGTTACACTGTGGGGAAATAGTTATTTCCTCAATTGCATCCTAACATGATGTTGGGAGGGATGGCATAATAAACATCTCACATTTTTCCAGAATGATTTCTAAACAGCATGGCACAGCAGGTCAAAATTTTACATAGCTTTAGGCAATTGAAAATCAGATTATTTGGTATCAAAATTTTGATATACCTTGTAAGTTTGCTGACCTTCAGCAGGTCAAAGTCAGGCCATAGACTCAGCAAAGTCAATTTCTAGGAAACTACAATGTGATGCAACATTGAAGTATAAGACAAAGCTTCAGTGCAGTTATACATTGGTACCTAATGTTAGAAAAGCATTGTACATCATTTGTCATATTTAAGGCAGAACATATAGTAAATAATCATAAAACAGGTAGATTCATACTCCTACTTTCAAATTTTATTAACTACGATAGCGAGCCCAGGAGAGCCGCACGCACCCCACTGCCTCGACTCCCCAGCACTGTTTCTGTGTTGCCATTGTGTAATTACAATATTTCTGCTCATCAAGAACTATGAAAAATGTAGGGGCCAAGGTAACAATAATAATGCAATGAAAAATGGTTTTTATTGTGTCTAGGTATGTTTATGAAATGGACAGGCCAGAATAGTCCAGAACATAGCCTAAACTAGCCTAACCCAACCTAACCTAACCTAACCTATTCTAACCTAACCTAGCCTAGCCTAACCTAGCCTAACCTAGCCTAACTTAACCTAGCCTAGCCTAGCCTAGTCTACCCTAACAACCTAACCTAACCTTACACAATCTAACCTGACCTGACCTAACCTAACCTAACCTAACCTAACCTAACCTAACCTAACCTAACCTAACCTAACCTAACCCCCCACCCTATCCCTTTAATCCAGTGTCCCATTGGCATCTATCTTCCATGCCATATATGTGTACCATATTAAGAAGTTTTGTTTAGCTGCCATATTCTCATTTTGCTTTTCATTCCCACCCAAAAACGTCATATTTCCCCACCATGTCGACCAATCTACAAACAGTATGGAAGGCTGCCTGGATGCGCAAGAAACATATTTTATTGAATTCTTTTTACCTTGGCCTCGTACATTTTTATGGTTCTTGATGCGCAGCAATGTTGTGATCATGCAGTAATGCTGTGATCACGCAGTAATGTTGTGATCATGCGTAACAATGGTGCCGGGGTCGCGGTTGCTGCGTGTTTGCGGCGCTCGGATGTTCGCTGTCGTAGTTATTGAAGTTCCAAGGTAAGAGTTTAGATGACCTGTTTTACGATTAGTTACCATATGTTCTGCCCTAAAAACGACGATTGATGTACAATGCTCTTTTTTAACATGAGGTAGCAATGCATACCCTGACCCGGGTATGAAGGTCAGACAAAGGCCAAAACCAACCTGTTATGTTACTGCAGGGCTCCCAGTATGGGATAGTATTTGGTGATCATTTTGAATTGATTGATAACAAGCATCACATTATGCATCTGCTATGGGCTTATTAAAGGTCAGAATAGGTCACGGACCTGACCTAGAATGACCCAGGTAAACATTTTGTTTTTCATGAGCACACTACCTAGCACGATCTTTGTAGATTATTAAAATGCAAAACTCAAAGCAGTCTGTATGAATTTGGCTGCTGTGACCTTCAAAGGGTCAAACAAGGTCAGTGGCCTTTAATGAGCATTTGAACATTTTCTTGGAACTGGTGTCTAGGTTCAGGGGCACCAGGGAGACTAATGTGGAGTTTGACCTTGTTTGACTGTGTTTGATGCAAAGGTCATGACCTAGAAATCTCACATTTTGACTGGTGATCGATGTGCATGCCAACACATCCTATGTATTTTGTGTCTCTAGCTCTCCTGGTGCATGAGATCTCAACAAAGTCAAATTGACCCCACCCCATCCGGGTAAACGGTATCTGACGGGAAAGCCAGGCGCATGTCAAAAAGTATTCAGGTGCATGGGAAATGAAGCACATTGAAAGAGCTATCAAATACATGTACCAGGTTGTTGTCTCTGCATAGGAGCTGATGTATTTGGAGCGGTATCTGGGATCCACATATGGGTGAAATGGGAGGTCTACAAATGAGTGACAGTGTCAGCAGTGTCCAGACATCCCAGATCAAGGCTGGTGTGCGTGGACCAACCCAACATATGAGCGTGACCCCCCTTCCTCGCATGTTTGAGGTCATACCGCGACCAGCCACAGAGCACAGCATCAGCATGTGGGGACCACCCAGCTGTGCAGACCAGAGGTGACTACCTGGGGTCAGCATCGGCCGGCAGTGGTTGGGGCAGGTGGGCCGCCTGACTTGCTGGGGTCAGCAGCAGCCCGCAGTGAACTGAACGAGCGAGGTGGGCTGGTCATGTGACTGAGCGTCACCCACACAGGTGTACCTGGCCAGTCGGTCAGTGAAGCTCTACCTCAAAAGCTGAGCTGCGAAAGGTCTTATCTTCCGACCAGATACTGATGGTGATATTCTGCGGTGTTAGGAATGTTTAGCTGTATCCCCCTAAAATAATAAACTTCCTCCCATGGGCGAGCCACCAGTTTGGTACAGGATATCAGGACGTTGTGCTGGCTGCGAGTGGCCCTGTAGGCGCGGCCTGCTTGCCCTACACTGTCGCGGTGCCTGGGCGACACGGCTTCTGTGCACCAGTTCCTGCTAACGTGCAGATCGCTCCCGGCCCTGACGACTTCGTCGCGCCGACGATGACCTTACACGACAGTCTACACTGAGTAGTGTCAGGCTGCGAAAAGGATCAGAAGGGGCTCCCTCAGCTTGCGAACACAGAATGGCTAGAACGTTTTTGTTTCTCACGGGATTGTTGCCCCTAAACACTTAGAAGCCAAGCTCGATGCGCTCTGGACAAATATCTTCTCATACAACATTTGGCGCCAGGGCTAGCGCGGTGGGACAAATGAGGATCCTGTGTGTACTGTTTTTCATACATCACAGGTCAGTTTTGGGTTACAAATAATTTGAAATGCTGTGGCATATATATATATATATATATATATATATATATATATATATATATATATATATATACGCACGCACGCACGCACGCACAATAACAGCTCTCATGACTTTTCAGGATGAGCTCACTGCAGTCAGTGTCAAGCAAGGCTTCAATGCATCGCCCATCACTCCCGATGAATATGGCTCAGCCAAAAGCCTCAACATCAACACCAGCAAGGTAAGCAGCGTGCAGTTGAAGTCCCGTGCGTGGCATAACACACCACGTTATATTTTATGCTGTGGACGTTTTGCCGCAGCTCCATCAACTTTGCCAATGAACCAATCAACAAGGCAGTTGTTAGCTGAAATTATCAGTGCTCGACACGACAAATTACACCATGTTTTGCTCTATAGTGCAGATGTGTACTTGCAGCTCCATTAAGTTTTGTCAAATGTTTGCTATAATCAATTAGTTGGTGCGCATCTGTGTTGTTAGATCTTAGTTTTAAATTATTTGGTTTACTTCAAGATCAGTTGTTATATTGAAAATGATATGGCTGTGCTGCTAGTAAGACACTAGTTTTGGATGCTGCATCACACAACTGTCGACTCGCAGTGCTCCTAACAATGGCACCTAGCGTTGGTAATGGTGTGATAAAGTGGGATTCCACTTAGTGTAAGATTCGTCATAGCATAAGGCTAGGCATAATTATTAGGTTTAAGGCGAGCCTGCAATGCCACTTGACAACATCCTCGCGCGCTGCTTCATGTCCGACACCTAAACGGCGGGCGTCGTCCTCCCCAGATGTTGGAGAACTTCTCCGCCGTGCTCTCCAAGAAATACGAAATCAATACGCTGCCGGAGACGGGCAAAAAGAAGCAGCAGATTTCGCACCGGGACAACTACTGGCCGGTACCGACACGGCCCAAGGCGGCCGAGGTCTGGCTCAAGGACCTGGTTGGTAACAAGCCGTGACCATGTTGGCCAAAAAGGTGCCCATCTTCAACAAGAAGGACGAGATCCTGAGCAAGCTGTGCGACTACTCGGTACCGACGGTGCGCGCCTGCTGGCTCATCAAGATGTCCTCAGCGTATTACGTGGCCATCTCCGAGACCAAGAACAAGTCGAAGCGCCAGCTGCCCGACCAGACGCAGGAGTGGACGCTGACGCTGGAGCGCTTCCTGAAGGAGCAGCTGACGCGGCTGGAGGAGCACTACTCGTGGACGCCGCAGGTGGGCGTCTTCCCGGCGATGAGCGGCAGCTCGACTGAGGAGCAGAAGGTGGCTGCCCGCCACTGGCAGTACGGCACGCAGCTGGCTGGCGTCATGTACGAGCAGGGCCTGCTCGACCGTGAGCCTTTCCTTGAGTGGGTGCTGGACGTGTTCCGCGCGCGCGCGCACGACGACGGCCTGCTGAAGCTGGTGGTACCGCTGTTGCTGCAGTATGTCGGCGAGTTCACGCGCTCCGAGCTGCTGGCACGTAAGCTCGCCTACTACGCTTGCAAGAAGCTGAATCAGATGGTGGCCGAGATGGACGCGTCGGGTGGGCGAGGCCAGAGCCCGGTGTTCGGCCAGGGCGGCCAAGAGGCGGGCGCCCCGCCGCCGCCCGCCCAGCCCGTGCACAGCAACCCGCTGGTGGCTGCCTTCATCAGGCTTGTCAACTGCAACTTCTACGAGAGCATCGTGTACGGCTTGGGCTCGGTCCTGCAGATGATCTTGTATAAGAACCCGACTGCGCTGGTGTGGAACAACCTGGGAGACGGCAAGTCGTCGCCGCTGAGCAGCTCGCCACTGGGCGGCTCGCCGCTGGACCTGCTGCCCTGCCTGCCGTCCGGCCTGCCGCTGCCGCCGAGCGCCAGCAACGGCGAGTGGCGGACGCGCCTGCGCCGCGTAGAGGACGACGTGCTGGAGCGGAGTCGCGCCTCGGACCTGCGCTGGTCCGTGCAGACGTCCACAGAGCTGACCGTGGGCCGCGTGCTGGCTGCGCTCGACGCGCTCGACCAGCACAAGTGGCACCGCACCGACGACACCAACAACTTCGACACGCTGTACGCGCGCGTGTTCCCGCCGGCGGGCCGCGATGGCGCCGACGGCCGGCCGTCGGACGACGCGCTGGTGCAACTGCTCTGCGAATGGGCCGTCTCGCCGCAGCGGCTGGGCGAGCACCGCGCGCCGGCCGTCGCCATGCTACTGGAGAAGCGGCAGGCCGAGCTGACGGCCGCCGACGGCGACGGCGACGACCGCGAGTCGGTCTGTTCCGGCTCCTATCCGGCCTACGTCTACCAGAGCCTGCTGTTCCGCTTCCTGGACACGAGCGCGCCGGTGCTGGACGACGCCATGGGCTGGGCGGTCGCAGTCGGCAGTCCTTTGCCAGCCTGGTGCTGCTGTTCCTCGAGCTGACGCGGCACGACGTGTTCTCGCACGACCAGTACCTGCGCGCGCTGATCTCACGCGGCGAGCTGCGCACCAACCCGGCCAGTCCGGCCCAGTCGGCCGCCGCCTTCACGCGCTCCGAGCACCACGACGCCGACGACGACAAGCTCGACATCGACGACGACCTCGACAAGCTGGTGCAGCACATCAAGTCGACCAACGCTGACATGGACAATCCGGACAGCCCGAAGGAGGGCTTCTCGCTGGGCACCGGGCACACCGAGAAGCTGGAGGCCCGCCGCCAAAACCGCCACCTCATCTACACGACCCACTTCCCTCTGCCGCAAGTGAGTAGAGCATCCGTGGATCGCACGTCTCATGTCACTGGCTGATGCGCGCGGTGACCCCAGACTGTATCGAGCTGAGATGTGCCTGTGGATTTGAGGATTGAAACTACTTGGTGCAGCACACCTACAGTTGTCTTCAGTCGCAGGGTACCTACAGGCGATGCAAGCAATGCCGTTGACACGTCTTTCGCGAACAGATTGTTTATCAAGCGTGGAAAGAAATTAAGTCATCGTGTTGGCGTTATAAGGTTCCATGGCACAAAGCACAACTCTTGCAAAAGGCATGTCACTCCGTGGTCGCTGATGCAATCATTTCGAACTGCATTTGTCATGGTGTGCAACCTCGTGGCCTGTTTTGCTGGTATGCTCAAGATCCTGTTTACCACGCGTCTTGTGACATGAGAGCGCTCCCGACAGGACGATGCCTACACCGACGACGACAAGCAGCGGCACATCCTGCTCTTCGGCGTGAAGAAGGCTCGCGATGAGGCGCGCCACGCCGTCAAGAAGATGAACAAGGAGATCATGAAGCTGTTCGGCAAGAAGCTTTCGATCGACGTGTCGGAGGGCGGCAAAGTAAAACGCCAGAGCCGCGGCGAGTTTCCGTTCGAGCCGGTGGTGCAGCGCTTCCAGGCGCTATCCTTCTACGATCAGCACCAGGTGACGCACCAGTGCGCGCTCCAGGTGGTCGAGATGCTGAGCGCCTTCGCGGCCGGCAACTCCAGCTACCTGCCGGTGGTCGAGCACGTCTCCTTCCTCTTCGACCTGATGGAGCTGGCGGTGAACATCCGCGAGCTGCTGGACTGCTGCCAGCAGATGCTGCGCGAGCTGCCGGACGTGGAGGGCCAGCTGCACAGCAAGAACTCGGCGCGCGCCGGCACGTACGCCACCTCGCTGGCGCTGCACATCGTGGGCGCCTGCCGCCGCTACCACAGGACCCTCATTTGTGAGCAGGAGGGAGCGCTTACGGACGGGCCGACTGGGCTGGGTCTTGGAGCTGGTGTGGGCACAGTGGCTCAAGGTTCATCACACTCAGTAGCGTCTGATGGGATATTGATTGGCAGGCGTCAGCGCAAAATGTCTAGTGGCCGGCGTGTCCTAAAACGCCAGTTATCATCATCATAACAAGATATTTACTATGAGCGAACGATGCAGTCTGATTACGTGTACTCTGTCTGATGTTTTTGAAATGTCTACACCTTTTACACCTACACCTACACCTATACTTACACCTACACCTACACCTACACCTACACCTACACCTACACCTACACCTACACCTACACCTGCACCTACACCTTGGATGTAATTAGTAGATGAGCGAAATTCGCGGCTGAGTCGACAGACATAAATTGTGCGTCCTCTTGCTCCGTCCGAGGCTGGCATGTCTTACAGACTTACCGCAGCGTTGATGTAGTTACCGACCCTCTGCTGTGCCCGACAGTGTCGCAGGACCACACGGCGGCCATCTTCGAGGGTCTCTGCAAGGTTGTGAAACACGTGCGCAACCACACGGACTGCTCCTCGGCCGAGCGCTGCGTGCTCGCCCACCTGGTCAATCTGTACAGCAGCTGTAGCTTCCTGCGCTCCAAGCACTACGAGGCACGCTTCGAAAGCTTCAGCAACGCTTACCTGAAGCTGAAGCAGCTGTTCAACACATCGCTGAAGCCGAGCGGCTCCTCCTTCAGCCGCAACGCCGCCTTCATGGCGGAGTATGTGTCGTGCCCGACGCGGCCCATTGAGCCGGCCGCCGTGCGCGCGCTCAACGAAAGCGGCGCCAACCGCTACAGCTTCGTCTGCAATGTGGTGATCGAGGTGTGCAACACGGCCGACAGTGAGCGGCTCAGCGACCTGGCCGTACTGGCGGCCGAGGCCACCGCCCGCTGCAACGCCCCTCTCGCCGAGTGGCTCGGTGAGTGGCACCCCCGTCGCCGGGGTGGCTCGGTGAGTGGCACCCCGTCGCCGGAGTGGCTCGTGAGTGGCACCCCGTCGCCGGGGTGGCTCGGTGAGTAGCACCCCGTCGCTGGAGTGGCTCGGTGAGTGGCACCCCGTCGCCGGGTTGGCTCGGTTGACGCCTCAGATGCCTTCTCGCTGAGGTGGTTTGGTGGTTGGCCCCGCAGCCGGCTGGCGTCGGAGGCTGCGCCGGCACCGCGGTCGTCGGGGGGGGGGGGGTTATTGGGAGGTGGCCGCGACAGATCAGCGACGTCCCGCATTCGCACGAAATCGATGAGTCCTGAGGACATGGTGTTGGACGGCGAGGGTCGTCCCCGGCTGGCGGGCCGTATGAGCCGTATGAAGGCCGCGACCGCCAGGGGAGGCTGTCCGCTCTCTGGCCCCGGGCGCCGGGCTCTCCGCTGCGCCCCTCCGGTCCCTGGGCTCTCGCGTGGCGCCATTACACCCACTCATGGGCGCCCCGGCCGCCGTCCCACACTTTGCGCATCTACCTCCAGCGCTTGCCATGCCGCCGTACCCTGTCGTGCGCCACCGTGCGATGACCGTGACCGTGGCATGGCGCGGGCCGGCGCAGTGCCGTGCCGTGACCGTCTTTGTCGGGCCGGCACTGTGCCGTGCCGTGACCGTCTTTGTCGGGCCGGCGCTGCGCCGTGCCGTGACCGTCTTTGTCGGGCCGGCGCTGTGCCGTGCCGTGACCGTCTTTGTCGGGCCGGCGCCAGGTGTGCTGGATGCGGCGTGCGGCGGCTCGGACAGCTGGCTGGACGTGCTGACGGCCGTGGACATGACGGCGCCGGCCACCCACCGCAGCGTCGCCCTTTTCATGACTGTGCTGGCCGCCCGACACTGCATCTACATGGACGACGTGATCCAGTTCGGCGCCCACTGCCTCCTCACAGGCAGTGAGTGGGGGAGGGGATGGAGGCTGGCTTCAGTCGTCGGGACGTTGCTTATGGATGGGCGGAGCGCACACGAGTGTGATCGGGGACTGGATGCGGGGATGTTACTTCCATTAATGTCAGACATGGCGTAACGTATCGTGAGTTCGTTGTCATGAGCTAGACGTGTGCATGTGACGCCCAGCGCGGCCGACTGTGGTTGGCGCTGAGTGGTGATGTCCGCGCCGCAGGCAAGGGCGACCGCGAGCGCGAGCCGGGCGCGCGGCTCGTGCTGCGGCTGCTCGGCCACCTGTGGATCCCGTCCGAGCAGCCGCAGCCCACCTGGTACGACACCGGTGAGTGAGCCGAGTCGCCGCTGTCGCCGCCGCGCTCCGGGCACACCGACAGTCCGGACGACACCGACACCCGCCTCTGTGTGTGCCCTCTCCCGACTGGTGTGCTCCTCCCGTTTGCGGATGTGGTCGGCCGGCTCATCGGCTGGTGTGCTCCTCCCGTTTGCGGATGTGGTCGGCCGGCTCATCGGCTGGTGTGCTCCTCCCGTTTGCGGATGTGGTCGGCCGGCTCATCGGCTGGTGTGCTTCTCCCGTTTGCAGATGTAGTCGGCCGGCTCATCGGCTGGTGTGCTCCCCCCGTTTGCAGATGTGGTCGGCCGGCTCATCGGCTGGCCGTCGGCCACCCTTGGTCTTGAAAGCTCTATGCATATCATCCATATTCAGAAGTGTACGGGAAAGCTCGTTTGATTTTTCTGGTTTGTGGATGTTATCTGGTAAATTCACAAGGTACGCTTTAAAAGACAGAAATGGTCGGTCATCTCAAATCGTGGTGACCATTTATCAAATCGGAGGTGTCTGGAGTATTGCTTGATTTTCAATCTGAATTCATTTCGTAGATTTAATCTTGTTGTCATCAGATACCAGACTAACACAAATACACGGGACCTGCGCAACAGTAAAAACTTACACTATTGTGCGTCTTTTGAGGGTGCGAAGACGGGGGTAAGCTGAGGCGGCAGCAGTTGTCACAGGCCAGTATTTGCTGATCCCGCCGGTAGCCCGCTTGCCCAGGGTTTGAGTCGTGCCACACGGCTGACAGCCAGCGGTCGCCCATTTCGGAAAAAATATCGCTCATTTTCATGTGTAATGCTTCTTTGACAAGAGTTTGAGATATGGGCGTGGGATCATCAGGCGTCCATCATACGGGACATGGTGGTTGAGCTGCATCTCACGTGGGTCGTGCGTGGCCAGGCTCGAGCACGTCCGTCCCCTCTGCTGGCCAGCCGTGCAGTCTCAAGTACAGCTGTGATCGCCACCTCCTGCTGGCAGCGCAGGACAACATTCCTGTGCAGGCTCTGCTCTGCGCCCTCAAGGTCGGCTCCTGGGAAACAACCCAGCAACTATGGCTTTAGTGAAGTACATCGTGTAGCATATTTTAACTTAGCATGCATTGAGAAATATTTTAAAGTAAAAAAATGAGCATTACGTGCACAGCATTGCAAGCAGACATCGTGCATAGCTACATACATGTATATATATATATATATATATATATATATATATATATATATATATATATATATATATAGTGAGGTGCACCAGGCCGGCCGAAGCATGCGCTGACCGGGCGCTGAGCCGGCCGGTGCACGTGCTGCCCGGGCGCCGAGCCGGCCGGTGCACGCGCTGACCGGGCGCCGAGCCAGCCGCTGCCTGAGCTGACCGAGGTGGGGCGGTGCGCAGACCATCATCATCCTGGCGGACGCCACGATTGGCGACGGCGTCGGGAGGACGGAGAGCAAGACGGGCGGCGGCGAACTCAGCATCAGCGCCATCCTGGGCACCTCTGACCATCACGGCGAGCCAAACGAGCACGGGTACGGCAGGTGGTCCTCGCGCCTTGTCAACTGTACAGCAGCCGGGCCTCACGCGTAGTCCTTCATCCTCCTCCCCCCCCCCCCCTGCCAGGAGCGCGGGTGCAGCAGCCGGCCCTCACACCTTGTTCTTCATCTTCCCCCTCCCTCCCTGCCACGAGCACGGGTGCGGCAGCCGGCCCTCGCACCTTGTCCTTCATCTTCCCCCCCCCCCCTCCCCCCGTGTCACGATCACGAGTTACCACTTCCTTCCATTGCCTTTGCTCACTTATCATCATCTCACTGATTGGTGGGAGATTGAGCTCCATGTGCCTCTGGTTTGTCTGGGGCACGGCATGTCGCCAGCTGAGTGAGTGGAGTCGTGATGTCTGGTCGATGGCTCCTCTCCCACTCATGCAACTTGTCTCTTACTCTACCTCCCACTCATCTCTCACAGCTTCATTCGCTCCGTTCCCCTGCCCCGCTTCACGATAAGGCGAAGCTGGGCCGTGTGGTTAACACGTCTGATGGTGATCGGTGATGCGGCTTACAGCGTGTGATGTCAACGGTAGAGGTCCCGCAGGTAGAAGTCGGGGCCGGCCCTGGGCCAGGCCGGCCTCTCCGAGTGTACAGTCCGTCTCGGTGTCGGAGTGTGAGCCCGTGTCGTCGGCGGTGCCCCGCCGGACACCACTGGGAACGAGTTTTGAGTCCCTGTCCGATACCCATCACCCCACAGGCGGTCCGGACCGGGCCTGAGCAAGGCTGGCCTCTCCGAGTTCGCGCGCCACATGCTGAAGCAGATCTGCAGCCAGTCGTGGGTGCGCGAGAAGTTCCTCAGCTCGCCAGAGGAGATCGTCTCCATGGAGAAGGCCAACTCACCCGATGAGGTTGATGTCGACCTGCTGGATCGCGAGATGTCGCCCAAGCAGGTGTGTTTGCCTGACGGCGGCGTCCGCCCAGCTCCGGCTACCGCTGCCTATCGGAGGCCGTAGAACAACGCCTGCCGTGCGGCAATGATAACCACCGCAGTCTTCCGTGACACACAGCGCCTCCAGCCATCAGAGACGTCCACATCAGCCTGCACGGTCATAAGCCTGCACAGTCATCAGCCTGTTCTGTCGCCAGCGTGCGCTGTCATCAGCCTGCGCTGTCATCAGCCTGTTCTGTCATCAGCGTGCACGGTCATCAGCCCGCACAGTCATCAGCCCGCGCTGTCATCAGCCCGCGCTGTCATCAGCCTGTGCCGTCATCAGCCTGCACTTTTGACAGGACTGACGGACTAGAGCGACCTCCGCAGCCAGTGGCGGGCGCAGTGGCCGCGAGTTCTGCTGGGACCTCCCGGGTGATCCCTCCCAATCTCGCCGACATTGTGCCCGCACGTGCCGCAGGCGCGCCGGCTCTTCCACATGATCGTCCACCCGGACAACTACACGTTCTTCGTGGACGACACGCCCGGGGAGCGGCAAGTTTGCGGCCGCATCCTGGAGACGCTCGACCAGTGGACGATGCGCGTGGCCCTGCTCGACTTGCGCCTGCTTTACCGCCAGACGGCCAAACAGGCGGCAGACAAGCACGCCCAGTGGCTGCAAACGCTGGCGCGCGCCGTCATCGAGGCGTTCCAGCTGGGCGGCGGCGAGGCGCATCGGCCGCACGCCAGGTGGGAGGGCCGACGCTAGACGGCCACTCGCCAGGTGGGAGGGCCGGCGCCAGACGGCCACGCGCCAGGTGGGAGGGCCGGCGCCAGACGGCCACGCGCCAGGTGGGAGGGCCGGCGCCAGACGGCCACGCGCCAGGTCGGTGGGCCGGCGCCGAACGGCCACACGTCGGTTGGGTGGGCCGGCGCTGGACGGCAGGGGGAGCGTGCGGCCGAGATGTGGGTGATGCTGATATTTCTGATGTTTGTCCCTGTCAAGAGCCGTCTTTGGGTCGTCCAGCCTGTTGTCAGCCGGTGTCGTCCCTCGTGCCGCTGACCCTACTTATTCCTGTCGCTGCCAGCCTCGGTTCGGACGACCGTCCCCCCCTCCCCCCCCCCCCCTCCCTCCCCGCTGAGTGTTTAGTTCTGATCGCGTGCCTCTGCTGTCGCCACCAGCCTCGGTCCGGACGAGTGCCCGTCGTCCCCCCCCCCCCCCCCCCGGCTGAGTGTTAAGTTCTGACCGCGTGTCTGCTGTCGCCACCAGCCTCGGTTCGGACGAGCGGCCGTCGTTCGTGTGGCTGGTGCCGCCGCTGGTGGCCAAGCTGCCGGCCGAGGCGCAGGCGCGTATCCTGCAGGCCGCCATCCAGGTGTTGGAGTCGGCCAGCTGGACGCGGCGGGGCGCCACGCCGGCGGCGCCCGGTCCCGCCGCCCACCAGCCCTTCAAGCAGCTGGTGCTCAGCTGTGTGCGCGGACACGAGGAGCAGCGTGACGAGCTGGTCAGCTCGCTCCAGGTCCAGTTCCAGCAGTTCCTCTCCAGGGATGGCAAGGACGTGAGTAAGCGAATGGAGATGAGGGGATGGGTAATCGGCAGTGCTTTCGGTGTAACACTAGTTTGAGGACATAAAATAATGGCCGCATGACGGTCCATATATCCCGTACAAGATCTGGAATGCAAAAGGAATATTAAGTATAGGTAGACTCAATATATCCAGCGCTAATCGAAAATATAAACAACTGACAGTAAGGTAGCGTTTTGGTGATGCGATGTGTGAACTTGATTCTGTATTTATCCGGGCGATGGTTTGCCCACCCGAGAATGGAACAGCCGATGCGTTTTATCAGCCCGCTTTGTGTATCAAAATCACGCCGTGGGTATCTTGCCGTTTGATCGTATCTTGTTATTTGACCTTTTTCTTGTTTGTGTTTATCCTGCCATTGTTTTTCCATGCCATCATGTGTCTTTTTTTTATTAATTCTTTTTTATTCCCATGCTCATTTTTCAGCATTTATCCATGAAATGTTTTGTCTTTTGATTATTTTCCATTTCGATATGAAACACTGCTGTTATGTATTCTGTCCATGTTCCAGCTTTGTGTTGTTTGCGCTCGATATTTTCTTCACGTGTATTAGTAGCTGTACGATATTCGATCCTAGCATATGGCCGGAACAATATGTCCGTCGCATGTGCGCTTCCTACGTATGACGCCGTCACATTGAAGCAATTGTCGCCACCGCCGAAAGTGTAAAGTGTGGGTTCTAACAAGCTGTCTTCTGTTGCACTCAGGAGTCAAAAGATAAGGAAGAGAAGCGAAAGGGCGCCGAAAGCAACAAGGTGCGTGGGATCGTAGCTGGCTGTCTGTCCGCACCGTTGCCTCTCCGCTGGCCGTTGGCCGTTCTGCTGTCTCTCCGTTGGCTGTTCGCCCGTTCCGCTGCTGCTCCGCTGGCCGTCCGTTCGTACCCCTACCTCTCGGCTGGCTGTCCGTCCGTTCGTATCCCTACCTCTCGGCTGGCTGTCCGTCCGTTCGTATCCCTACCTCTCGGCTGGCTGTCCGTCCACACCGTTTCCTATGGGCTCGGGCGCTGGCGGCCGGCCGCGCGCGCCGCTTCACACTGGCAGCAGCAGCGCGGCTGTCTTGCCTCGGTCAACACCTTTTTAACGACCCTTCATACCAAACACCACTCGCATGTGAAGCAAACTACCAGAAGCGCCTCGCGCGCAGGCATCACGCGAAAAATCAAAGAATCTACATGATCTGATCGCCACTGGAAAACTTCCTTTACGCTTCTCATGCAGGTCAAAATTCGTAGACATTTATCATACGCAACTAAAGACTGGCAGCGTCAATCATAACGCACATTTTTTCCAGATACAAAACTCTTCTGCTGCTTGCTATGTCTGTGGTCACAGGTCGAAAACAATTCATTATTTCATTCTCTTTTGTCTACTTTCAGCACGTCACACGCATATTAGGTCCCCGTCTCAATTAGTTTTCGGGTACCAACACCATACACGCCTTAATGTACGGAATAAACATCGACAGCGAGGGTGGGCGGGTGCTCGCGGTGGACTGTCAGGACTGCATCATTGGAGCGTTATAACTGCGACATGAGGCGGAGGCGGTGGCGATGGCGATGCCGGCGGCTGGCGCCGTGGCGGAGGCTCTGTATTGGGGTGCCACGTCCGGCGACCGTTTTTCGTTCTGTTTTTGCCTTTAGGGGAGGTGCCCAGGGTTGAGTCTGATGACGTATGCACCACATTGGCACCACTGCCAAGCGTGACGTCACGCTGGCGGTTTGGGGCGCGCTGGCCTGTCCGGCCGCCAGTGCCGACGGGCCAGCGCTCCGCCCGCACGCCAGCGGTGCGCTGGCGGCGGCAGCTCCCAGACGCCGCTCGTGCACGGCGTCGATGGTGGAGGCTAGTAAGGCTGCGCGTCTGGGAAACCAGAGGTACGGGGTTCGATTCCACGCAGTGCCTGTCCTTGCCTGGGTGAGCAGCGACGCCTTATAGCCTCAGCAGCAGAGTATGTCGTAAAGCCCCAATGACGATGACGTCGCTGCCCGTGCCATGCCCGACAGAAGGAGACGGTGTTCCCGGACGAGAACAAGACCGGACCGCACGTGTACAGTGCGCTCCAGCTGCGCTTCAGTCTGCTGGGCGGCGTGTTCGACGCCATCCAGCGCGGCAGCCTCAGCTGCACCGACACCTGGGTTGTGCTGCTGGCCCAGCTGGTCACCAACGGCGTCGTCACGCTCTACAACAACAGGTGGGCGGCGGGGGCAGGGGAGCGTGCTGACGCCTCGGCGGCGGCTTGAGCTGTGCGGCGGACGCCGGTCGGTGTGTGCTGCTCGTGGTCAGCGAGGGGGGGGGGGGGGGGCAGCGTGTTGGTGACCGTGATCGGAGAGTCGCCAGAGCCTGCAGGTCATCGCTGAGATAACTCGAGGAAGACAGAGTTACCAGGAGGAGGGCAATAGGTATCACATAGGTTGACAGACTAGCATCTGCACGACCTCACCTTCATTTACGTGGCAGCGACATGCATCACGGTGATCGGCTTGATCTGTTGGGGATATGATCATCATTGTTGGGGATATGATGTGACGACGGGCCACCTTTGGCAGTGACATGTACACCACCGTGGTGGACATGATGGCCACCCTGATCCACTCGGCCGTCGTGGGAGACTCGCAAGCCGAGAAGCCCGAGGAGAACAAGCGCCACTACCAGACGCTGGCCAAGAAGCTGCGCAAGGTGGGGGCCGGTGGAGGTCCGAGTGGGCGCCCTCCTGCGGGCTGTGTCGAGTACTAATGATGCTCGACAAACCGATTTGTTGTGTTGCGCTCTTGGCACATATCCCGTGTCGCAGTCCAAAAGAGTCGGGATTAAACAGAACGTCGCCACACCTGTGCGGACGTAGCTGTTTTCGTTAAGCGAAGGCTTTGAGTCGGATGCATCCACAGCCTAGCAGCAGCGCGAGCCGTGTTCATCTGGCCGGTGCCCCTGTCCACCACCGGCTGGCCGGTGCCCCTGTCCACCACCGTCTGGCCGGTGCCCCTGTCCACCACCGGCTGGCCGGTGCCCCTGTCCACCACCGTCTGGCCGACGCCCCCTGTCCACCACCGGCTGGCCGACGCCTCCTGTTCACCACCGGCTGGCCGACGCCCCCTGTCCACCACCGGCTGGCCGACGCCTCCTGTCCACCACCGGCTGGCGGACGCCCCCTGTCCACCACCGGCTGGCCGACGCCCCCTGTCCACCACCGGCTGGCCGACGCCTCCTGTCCACCACCGGCTGGCGGACGCCCCCTGTCCACCACCGGCTGGCCGACGCCTCCTGTCCACCACCGGCTGGCCGACGCCTCCTGTCCACCACCGGCTGGCCGACGCCTCCTGTCCACCATCGACTGGTCGACGCCTCCTGTCCACCTCCGGCTGCACGTGTGACGCCGTGCGCGGCCGGCCGGCGACGCTGACTGGTGCTGACCGGCGTTCCGCCCGCCACAGGAGCTGGGCGACAGACGCGGCGTGTCCATCAAATACCTGCGCCAGTTCTTGCCCATCCCCAAGAAGACGGTGGAGGTGATAAACTGCGAACTCAAGTCAGCGCCGCTGCCCGGCTTCGAGAGCTTCGAGAAGCGCCGGGTGAGGCGGCGGCCGCTGCTGCGCGGTTCGCCGGCGGCGGACTCCTGCTGTCGGCCGGGGCGCGCCGCGCGGGTCCGCCGACAGGCTGGTCAGCTGGTGCCGAGGGTCGCCGGCGGCGGGCTCCTGCTGTCGGCCGGGGCGTGCCGCGCGGGTCCGCCGACAGGCTGGTCAGCTGGTGCCGAGGGTCGCCGGCGGCGGGCTCCTGCTGTCGGCCGGGGCGCGCCGCGCGGGTCCGCCGACAGGCTGGTCAGCTGGTGCTGAGGGTCGCCGGCGGCGGGCTCCTGCTGTCGGCCGGGGTGCGCTGCGCGGGTCCGCCGACAGGCTGGTCAGCTGGTGCTGAGGGTCGCCGGCGGCGGGCTCCTGCTGTCGGCCGGGGTGCGCCGCGCGGGTCCGCCGACAGGCTGGTCAGCTGGTGCTGAGGGTCGCCGGCGGCGGGCTCCTGCTGTCGGCCGGGGTGCGCCGCGCAGGTCCGCCGACAGGCTGGTCAGCTGGTGCCGAGGGTCGCCGGCGGCGGGCTCCTGCTGTCGGCCGGGGCGCGCCGCGCGGGTCCGCCGACAGGCTGGTCAGCTGGTGCCGAGGGTCGCCGGCGGCGGGCTCCTGCTGTCGGCCGGGGCGCGCCGCGCGGGTCCGCCGACAGGCTGGTCAGCTGGTGCCGAGGGTCGCCGGCGGCGGGCTCCTGCTGTCGGCCGGGGCGCGCCGCGCGGGTCCGCCGACAGGCTGGTCAGCTGGTGCCGCGCGGTTCGGGCAGTACCGCAATGCCCGCACCAACAGCTGGGTCTGTTGCGTATGGTTCAGAGCGCCGCGTCGTGACTTAGAGGCGCTTTGGATAGCCTGATCTACGGACCGAGCTCAGTGCAGGCAGCAGCAGTATACCCCAGGCCGTTCTTTGACTCGGTAATGCTCCCAGGGCTGAACTGGTGACACGCCTGTACTATGTGGCGCTGTCTTGCCGTCTGCAAGGGGGATCCTGTAAGAGCCCTGGCTGTTCTCTCTGCCAACCCTCGCGCGTCTGGACACGGTTGGCTCCGTGGCCGGTATCCTTCCCGGGCCGTTACCCCGCCGTCAGCTGCCGTGGCGTGCTGGGGCGTGACCTCCTGCTGTAGCCGGGCCGTGACCCCGCCGCCGGTCGCGCGACAGGGCCTGATCCTGGTGGACAAGCAAAAGGTGTCTCCCTGGGATCTGCTGGAGGGCCACCGGAACCCGGCGCCGCTCAGCTGGTCTTGGTTCGGCGCGCTCAAACTGGAGCGCTCGCTCAGCAAGTACGAGGAGGTCTTCAAGATGATGAGGTGAGGCACGGCGGGCGCAAGGCGTATGCAACATGCAATACGTATACGCGTTATACGATGCAATACGTATATGCGTTTTTGTTCTCTTGGTAAGACTTGCTTGTTTTTTTCTCTTGGTAAGACTTGTTGACTTGCTATTGGACCCCCGCGCTGCCACCAGATGCTATCATTACATCTGAGCGCCGGTAGGAGTCGTCAGGAGTTTGTCAGGTGTGTCAGGCGGCCGTCCCGCTGGGCTAGCTTGGCGTGGGACATGCTTTCCTGTGTCGGGCGCCACCATGCTGGAACTGAGGTGCTGACGTTACCGGCCGCTGCAGGTTCCACCGGCACAACGGCATGATCAAGCTGGACAGCTACTATCTGGAGCCGCCGCCGCTGCCGCCCGAGGACCTCGAGCCCGTCCCCGAGAAGCAGGTGTGCGGTCGCCGCTGCTCCAGTGTGCCGTCTCCTGCCCAGCGCTGGACACCGTGTCCCGTCCTCCGGCTCTCGCTTCGGCGGCCGCCGCGGCCGCCTGTCCGTCCGTCTGTCTGAAGACCGCCACGCCGCCGTCGTCACAGACACCGCCGGCGCTGTGGACTGGCGGGCCGGCGGCGCTCCAGTGTCCGTTGACATTGCTGTGGTGCTGGCCTGCCGCCCTTTTCAACCGTCATTTACGCAGTTGTTCGATGTCGGGTGGTTTTGGCGGTCGTCGCCTGCCATGACTTCTGCTGGACTGTGTGAAATTTGGCCGCTATATTCTGCCCCTCTCTCCCTCAGGTCTTTCCTCCCAAGGCGCAGGTATTTCTTGCCGGACGTTTGTTGTGATGACTATATTATTTCTGCCCAGTTCCGTGTAGCGGGCATGGCTTTGAACGCGATTTGTACACCTGATTTGCTCGCCTTCCGGGGTGGTTGTGCGCCTTTGATGTATGTCGGGGCCTGGGCTGGATTTTTGGCACGGTTTCGTCAGGAGACGGCTATCAGCGCATGTGGCTGTGCAGCAGGCGGGTTATATGAGACGATGGACATAAGGTCCGGGATAATGCGTTATTCTTGAGCGTCTCGAAACCATGAATATCGTCTTGAAACGTCGAATATCATCATGTGTTCTATTGATGGCTGGTAGCTCCGCCTAATGAGTACCTCCCAGAGCATTAAGAATCAGTAATTTTCAGCTCTTAAAAAGTATGTCTTGCACGCTCCATGCTGGGCGTGACAAGAAAGATAAGACCCTGTGTAGATCCGACCAAAGCGCTCGCGGTTTCTGAACGTTATCAACCTGTGGCGCCGCGCGTGGTCGCCCTGTCGTCGCGTCGGCCCCAGCTGAGAGGCTGCTCCACACCGCCCTGTCACTGTTGACCCCAGCTGAGAGGCTGCTCCACACCGCCCTGTCACTGTTGACCCCAGCTGAGAGGCTGCTCCACACCGCCCTGTCACTGTTGACCCCAGCTGAGAGGCTGCTCCACACCGCCCTGTCACTGTTGACCCCAGCTGAGAGGCTGCTCCACACCGCCCTGTCACTGTTGACCCCAGCTGAGAGGCTGCTCCACACCGCCCTGTCACTGTTGACCCCAGCTGAGAGGCTGCTCCACACCGCCCTGTCACTGTTGACCCCAGCTGAGAGGCTGCTCCACACCGCCCTGTCACTGTTGACCCCAGCTGAGAGGCTGCTCCACACCGCCCTGTCACTGTTGACCCCAGCTGAGAGGCTGCTCCACACCGCCCCGTCACTGCGTCGGCCCCTGCTGAGGCCGCTAACGTGCAGGCCGGCCGCCGTTCGCAGAAAGAGGAGGCCAAGGTGCCCGAGGTGCCCAGCTGCGACTCGCCGCGTGGCAACAAGCGGGCTCGCGGCGGCGCCCAGCGCAAGAAGCGCGAGCGCCCCAACCGATCGCTCAGCAACTCTGGGATCATGGCGCCGCGCATGAACACGGTACGGGAGCTGGAGCCTGGGCCGGGCGCCGCCGCTGAGCGCGGTTGGGCTCCTGCCACTGCGCAAGGTTAAGGCCACGTGTCACCATACAGTTTTGTCAACTGCGTGTTTAGTTCCAGCACACTCTCGTTATTTATATGTGTTCACATCATTTGGTTTGCTGCTACCGTTTGCTGTCACCGCCCATCAGTGGTTGGTGTCTGAGCTCTGCAGCGTCCCTGGGGTCTCCATCCTGCACCGGAACTGCCCGGTTGTTGTCCAGGCCTGACAGGTCTGTGGTCCCTGCCGCGTCCTATGCTGACAGTACTCGCCGCATCCTCTGCCCTGACAGTGCCCGTGGTGTGCTCTGGCCTGACAGTGCTCGTGGTGTGCTCTGGCCTGACAGTGCTCGTGGTGTGCTCTGGCCTGACAGTGCTCGTGGTGTGCTCTGGCCTGACAGTGCTCGTGGTGTCCTCTGCCCTGACAGTGCCCGTGGTGCGCTCTGCCCGGACAGTGCCCGTGGTGTGCTCTGGCCTGACAGTGCTCGTGGTGTGTTCTGTCGTGACAGTGCTCGTGGTGTGCTCTGGCCTGACAGTGCTCGTGGTGTGCTCTGGCCTGACAGTGCCCGTGGTGTGCTCTGGCCTGACAGCGCTCGTGGTGTGCTCTGGCCTGACAGTGCTCGTGGTGTGCTCTGGCCTGACAGTGCTCGTGGTGTGCTCTGGCCTGACAGTGCTCGTGGTGTCCTCTGCCCTGACAGTGCCCGTGGTGCGCTCTGCCCGGACAGTGCCCGTGGTGTGCTCTGGCCTGACAGTGCTCGTGGTGTGCTCTGTCGTGACAGTGCTCGTGGTGTTCTCTGGCCTGACAGTGCTCGTGGTGTGCTCTGGCCTGACAGTGCCCGTGGTGTGCTCTGGCCTGACAGTGCTCGTGGTGTGTTCTGTCGTGACAGTGCCCACCGTGTCCTCTGCCCTGACAGTGCCCGCGGTGTGCGCTACCCTGACAGCGCCCGTGGCGTGCTCTGCCCGGCCTGCGCCCTCTGTGACCGCTGACCGTGCCATCTGTGACCCCGCCGCCGGCCGCCATGTCCCCTGTCTGGAGTGACGGGACGCGGTGGTGTTTCAGCCGCCAATGACCGGCATGGGGCCGTACCCGTCAGCCAGCCTGTACCCGGGCGAGCCGCAGTGGGGCTTCCCGCAGCAGCAGGCGCCCCAGGCCGCCGCGCCCTACTACCAGCAGCCGCCGCTGGGCCCCGGTGAGCTGACGCCGCTCCGCCCACTGTAGACCACCCGTCTGTGACGCCAGCGGCGCCGAGCTCGTCCGCCCCGGCCGGTGGTCGGTCGCACCGTATCCTCTCTTGCCAGCATTTGGTGGCTGAAGTTTGTGCCATCACATGTAAGGAAGTGGTGCCCATTGCGGGGCTTTTGTGCGGACTTCAGTGGCTCTCGGCCCGTCACCTGAGGTGCCGGGCTGCTCTGTCGTCTGCCCTGTGTCTCTGTGATCTCTCGTCTGACCCGCCGGACAGCTCTGTGACCCGCGGCATCGCGGCCCGCGATGGACCGTGACCTGCGCTCTGGTCCAGCCGACCTTCCGGCGGGGTCGTCTGACCGGCCCGTGATCGGGCTGCCACCAGGTGGCGGACCCCGCTTCCAGACGTCGGCCAGCAAGCAGGCCATCTCGCAGATGCTGCGCAACCGGCAGCCGAACGCCTTCATGCAGCCGCAGCCGCAGCCCGGCTACCCCAGCATGCACATGCAGGACAAGCAGCTGCAGCTGCGCCAGCAGCAGATGCACTTCAGGTGGGCGAGCAGGCGGGCCAGGTGCGGCCAGTCGGCGGCGACGGCCGAGGAAGTCATGACGACCCGCGACACCTCTTCAGTGGGGTGGACAGGGCCCGGTGCTGTGAGATCAGTTCCCTATGGCCATGCAGCGGTTGCGTTTTCGAGTAAGAACCAGTGCCATCGTCATCAGCATCGAACTCGCCAGTGGTGCAGCCTACTGGTGCTCCTCTTGACTGCCCGGTAGGCACGCAGCGCAGCTCCTGCTGTGTGCACTGATGCCCCTGTGCTGACCGCCCGTGCGATGTGAGGCTGGATGACCGCACTCGCGTGGCTTCAGGGGACTGGTGCGCGGGACGAGGCGGCCCGCCGAGGGGACGGCAGTCGCTCAGGCGTCGCTGAGCAGCTGCCGTTCCGGCCTTTACCTCTGTGCCGCTGCGTGGGCCGTCCGCCGGAAGGGCGCCGCTGACCCCGTGCTCCGCCGGCAGGGACCAGATCCGCGTGCAGCACGGTGCGCCCGTGTATGCACCGCGCCAGATGCCTGGCCCGCCGGCGCCCGGGCCGGGCATGCCGCAGACCATGTACCCCAGTAAGTATCTCATGCCATACACCCAGAGTGCTGCCCGGGTAAAAACCATGTGCCTCTTAGCGTGATGAGTTGTCGTGTCATGTACCTCCGGTAGTACTCAGGCCCGCGCACGCCGTCAGTTTATCCCGGCAGTGTAGGCCGCATGCCGCCGTGCGGCGCTCATGTGGAGAACTTCAGTGTGCGGCGGCCGACTCCGGGGGCGCCGGCCCACCCCCGGTGTGTGGCCACTCGGCGCGCTGAAGTATTGACCCCGGCACGTCACGGGAGCTCGGCTGGCACGGGGCCGCCTCTGTCCCCGGCCGCGAGCGGCGCCGTCTGAGCGTGCGAGTGCTGCTGTTGGGCTGAGTGTGCAAGCTGCTGTGTGTGTGTTGGGCCGGCCGCACGTGAGCTACTGCGTGTCTCGGGTCGGCCGTGCGTGAGCTGCTGTGTGATGGGCCAGCCGTGTGTGAGCTGCTGTGTGATGGGCCAGCCGTGTGTGAGCTGCTGTGTGATGGCCAGCCGTGCGTGAGCTGCTGTGTGATGGGCCAGCCGTGCGTGAGCTGCTGTGTGATGGGCCAGCCGTGCGTGAGCTGCTGTGTGATGGCCAGCCGTGTGTGAGCTGCTGTGTGATGGGCCAGCCGTGTGTGAGCTGCTGTGTGATGGGCCAGCCGTGCGCGAGCTGCTGTGTGATGGCCAGCCGTGTGTGAGCTGCTGTGTGTGACTGGCCGGCCGTGCGCGAGGTGCCGTGTGTGGTGGGCCGGCCGTGCGGAGTCGCACCCGGCAGCCGGCCCTGACCGGTCCGCACCCTGTCACAGGCATGAACCAGGGCTACAACCCGGCGTACATGGCGCAGCAGGCGCCGCAGCCCAGCCAGATGCTGACGCAGGGAAACCCCAACAGTGAGTCGGCCGCTGCGCCCCGCGGCGGGCTGTCGAGGCGCGTCGTCAGCACCCTTGGTTCGGCACGTGCTCGTCCCGTGGGCTGGGCAGGGCGAGCCGCCCGTGTTGGCTATCCCATCAGTCTACGGCCCGTGGCACCCGCCCGCGTCGGTGGTAACCACGGCCGAGGTCGGGCGGGGCTGTCGAACCACAGCCTACAGAGGCAGGTCGGCGCAGGCTGGTGGCCTCAGTGGGGCGCCGGCGCCGCCAGGTCGCCGTGTGTGTGCTGACCGCCGACTGTTCCCGACAGCCCTGGCGTTCAGCAGCCAGCAGGGTCAGCCTGGCCAGCAGTCGGCCATGATGCAGCAGCAGCAGCAGCCGGCTATGATCCCCATGCGCTCTCAGCAGCAGCCGGGCCCAGCCGGCTACATGGGACAGATCAGACCCAGTACAAACTACATGCAGGTGGGCGACGGTGCCGGCTCCGAGCGCGAGATCTCAGGCGGCTTTGCAATACCTTCACATTGTCATCAGTCGACCCTCACCCTCATACTCACACCGTCATCAGTCGACCCTCATCCTCATACCCTCACACCGTCATCAGTCGACCCTCATCCTCATACCCTCATACCGTCATCAGTCGACCCTCACCCTCATACCCTCACACCGTCATCAGTCGACCCTCATCCTCATACCCTCACACCGTCATCAGTCGACCCTCATCCTCATACCCTCATACCGTCATCAGTCGACCCTCACCCTCATACCCTCACACCGTCATCAGTCGACCCTCATCCTCATACCCTCACACCGTCATCAGTCGACCCTCACCCTCATACCCTCACACCGCCATCAGTCGACCCTCACCCTCATACCCTCACACCGTCATCAGTCGACCCTCACCCTCATACCCTCACACCGTCATCAGTCGACCCTCATCCTCATACCCTCACACCGTCATCAGTCGACCCTCACCCTCATACCCTCACACCGCCATCAGTCGACCCTCACCCTCATACCCTCACACCGTCATCAGTCGACCCTCACCCTCATACCCTCACACCGTCATCAGTCGACCCTCATCCTCATACCCTCACACCGTCATCAGTCGACCCTCACCCTCATACCCTCACACCGTCATCAGTCGACGGGCGAGGTGCAAGACTAATTCAGAGTGGTGCAGCATTGTGCCTGAATCATGCGGCTGACATTTCGCCCCTGTACCGTTGGGAGTCGAGCCTGTCGGGGCCCGGGAGTCGGCGGCTCGCCGTCCCTCCTGACTTGCCACCGCTGAGTGCTCCTTCCGCCGGCCGTTGCAGGCGCCGAACGTGACCGTGAACACGATGCCGGGCGCCCAGTACCGGGGCATGGCACCCGGCCCCCCGGCCGCCGGCATGCAGCAGCGCATGCGCCACCCCATGATGATGCAGCAGCAGCCCACGCTGATGAACCAGCTGCGCCAGCCCAGCCTGGCTCAACAGCAGCAGCAGCAGCAGCAGCAACAGCAACAGCAGCAGCAACAACAGCAGCAGCAACAGCAGCAACAGCAGCCCCCGCAACAGCACAACCCGTACCAGTACCACCACCCGTGAGGCGGCGGTCGACAGCTGCCGTCGCTGGCTGGAGACGCGCTGGCCCGACAGGCTACGGCCGGCCAACGACAGTGCCCCGGCTTTCCGGCTCGGACGCCGCTGTTGTTCTGGCGTGGTCCGCCGCCGCCGCCGGCTGTTGCGCGGCGCTAGCCAGCTGCTGGACCGCTGTGTGGATGCAGTGCCCCCCCCCCCCCCCCCGCCGCTTCGTGTTAGGGGCACGCGTGTGCGCTCGAGCCCGCCGCGTGCCCCCCCCCCCCCCATTCCGCCTATTTGACGTCATGTGAGCCGCGCTGGACTGCGGCGCGCTGCCGCTCCGTGCTGTAATACATATCTTGTACAATAGGGTGTGTCGTCGAAGGGGTGAATCTATTGGAATCAACCGAGCCCAATTTTTTCCGTGGCATACGGATTAATGATAAACTTTCAGGTGTGTCGTACCGCACCAACGTTGATATTCGCGAAGCCAGAGCAGTTCTGTGATACGCCAAGAACGTCGTATTCGGTACTAGCGCCATCTATTTCACGCACTAGGACCATCCTCCAACAAGTCTCAAGCTTGTCACTTTCCACACTGCTGGTACCTGGTGGATTACGTGTGAAATAGATATCATGAGGAGCACCAGCAAAACATTGCCAAACGGCTTTTAAGTTGCGTTTTTATTGAAGGACATTATTTTTTTATAAAACCCAAAGCTGTGCAGTTATGAGAATGCTCCAGCAGACCGGGGCAGGTTCAAGTTTGCGGTTGTTAACGCATCATTGTGATATTTATTTGCAATTGATATGCTCGTTGTGTGGGCGCTATGGGTTGATTAGTTTAATTTTGCCGGTACTGAAACATTTGTTCGATAAATTACTTGCATGAGCATGCCGAAGGCTACACGGTCGCGCACAAAACATTTTGTGATGGGCCACCCGGCTCCACTGTCCCACCACCAACTGCCGGCTACGAGAAAGCATCGAGCTACATCAGGTGACTGAGCGAATTGAAGATAAATCTCGCTAATACCACCTTCGAGACCGCGCCGGCAGAAGGCAGGAGACTGTGGGTAAACGTAGTGATCCCCGTTCATGGTCTGAAATACGTGACAAAATTGATCGAGAGGGACTGATATCATTCCAACAGAGCTGTCAGCAAGAAATCGAAGAAAGAGAGTAACACAGCAACGCCGTCACTGCAAAATTCAAGAAGCTTCTCGATGTCGCGAAATGCAAGTGCAAATATCAGCGTAGCTTTCCATGCCCAATTGTCTACACAGTGTATCAAGAGGAGGTTGCCTTGAAGGACCAGTACAGGTACCGGAAGCTTACCCTGGGGTCATATTACCGGGATACGACTGTGACTAGAGAGGCTCGCGAGGTGCGGAGGATGGCCAGACAACCACTGGGACGTCGTGGCTCGGCCGCCAGTGAGGCGGGGTCTGCTGCTGAACCTGGGTCGCCTTCCCCGCCGACTGCTGAGCCCGCGCCGCCTGATAAGCCGGTGCTGGCTGCTAGTGCCGAACTCAAGCCTGCTCCGGGACCAAATGGTCTCAGCGCTGGTGACTTAGCCGAGAGCACGGATTCCTACACGGCTCCGTAGAAGGTGGCGACTTGTTTTGAAGAACGTCGATTGTTCGTTCCTGTTGAAAGCACTGTCATTGTAGATTGTAACGTTAACGATTGACTAACAGCGATCAGGCGGACGACAGCTATGGTGGTTCGAACTGGGCCGCTGCTGCTATCAGCAATGCCTTTCAACGAGACAGCAGAGACGGACTGGCTGCTTGAAATCAAATATCATAGATCCCAAGAAGATATGCTGCGCAAGAGACAGAGCGAGAAAGGAGAGGGCTCGTTAAAATGTTTGAGCAATCCACGAATCAGGTTTGACCATCCTCGACTCCGACGGCCGCGAAGGCAGGAGCTACATGAGTCACACGGAACCAAGGGAATGCCGTCGAGAAACACGTGGTTGTCATCGCTGAGCCATGCAGCCCCTACGTGACTCATTTTACGTGAGTTTGGCCGCGCCCTACACTTGCTCAACGAGCTACGCTATGTGAGCCCGCAGTGCGACGGTCACGTCAATGTGCTCGGTTGCGTTGGCACGGCCGTCAACACCGGACCGACAGGCGGCGTGTTCCGGCTGTTTGAGCTGGCCACCGAGTCACCCGTACAATAGTTCATCTGCCAGCTGCACGGCAGCGAGCTGCAACGGCAACCTCCTCCATCTTCTGCTGAGCTTGGACGGCACGACCACGGAATCAAATTTTTGGGGCTCATCGGCAAGACCTGCGCGGGGAGATCTGGGTGAGAGAGGGACGTTGTGGCATTCAAGCCTGTGCCGGGACACGTGCCAAACCTGCCGGTCGACCTGATTCAGCTACCGAGCACCAACTAGCAGCTGCTCTACCTTCTGGCATCCGGCGTTCAAAACGGCTCTGTCCGAAACGTGGTAGTCCAGCGGCGAATCGGACCATCGAACCATGCCAGGTAAATATGAAAACACTTTATCTTCGAATTTATAGCAATGAGTGTTTAAATCATCAAGTATCAATTGATATTTCATATGCTCGCTGTTGAGTATTTACTTTTTATCATACCTTGTGCCGTATGATGTCGTATTATTTGCTCGTTGGTTCATGTTTACTAGTATATTTGTCGATATCCATTCCGTCACATCTAGGGACTCTGGATATCGGCATAATTACATGCACTTCAGAGGCGCAATAATTTGTGTACGATCTAACGCTCAGTTCGTAACAAATTGTTCCAATATATTCGCTGTTGCTTTCAGCTGGTTGACACTGGCCGCCCGTTTACATTTCTATCGAAACCTCCAGCAGCGCTCTCGGGGGCCTCGTCCAGTGCGTGGTCGACCACTATGTGGCGGTATGGTCCGCCATCCGGCAAAACAGCAGCTGCGACTTTGGCTTTCGCAGCTTGCCCCGGAACATCGCGCTGCTCCGCGAGCAGCCGCAGCAAACGTACGCCACGGTGCAGCTAGTCCTCCCGCGTAACGGGTACTAGGTCAGTCCGGAACAGCTGTCACTGGACATGGTGTGGGATGAGAGCCGCATGGTCCGCGAACAGGTGGTTCCGATCGTCGCACCGCTCTTGAGCAGCAAACTGAGGCTCTTCTTCACCCCAGGGCTTTCGCCATCCCAGATTTCAACTTCGGGGCCGTGCGATACACCAACCTGATTCCCCTGGCACGGACCAGTCACACGGCCTCCACTGCGAGACCCAGCGACTGCGAGCTGCGGAACATAGTGTAGGCTCTGGCAATCTCGCCCCATCTAGTTCACACAAGTAGTGCAACCAGCGCCACACTGCTGAGGACGTCTGGGGCTGGGGCTAGAGCTTCGGCGATATGTGGAACCCAGTTGCGACGATATATCTGTTACCGTGCGACCTCCGCCAACACGTGTTTTGAGTCCCCAGTATGTGAGCAGCCGCTGTTTGGGCCGGCCTTTCTTGCCATCCACACTAGAGCAACTAATGTGGCTCATTGCCGTGGCGTAGTACTTCGCCTCCACAAACTAATGGCTGCGACTGAGAACATCCAGACACCACAACGAACGTGTGGTCCGCGAACGCCAGCTGGAGATACGGCACGTTATTACAAACCACACGTCTATGTCGGAATCGGAGAGGAGATGCGTAATGGCCCCGGAGAACGGGTCGGCGTTCCACCCAGAACAGCATTGTACAGTTGCGTAAATGCCCGCGAAGAAGACAGATCTGACGACCAGAGCATGACACCAAAACGGTTATACACGTTCAGCCCCTTTACCAATCTAGTGGATCGATTTCCGTGGTAGCTTGGACACTGGTAGGACGTAAGAAGGCTTAAAAACCGAGTCCGTCAAGGGTAAGCTTATCCTTACACGAAGAGCCCCGTCTCTGTGCGGTAGATGTACGTCACTAAACACCGTTCCTTGGCCTTACCGCATTGCGGAAGTTGTGCATCGTGTGCTCATGAAATACGCCTTCAGATATGCATTTATTATCCGGTTATTAATTGAAATAACATGGTTGCATCCCACCAACTGCAAACGCGGCGGTGTTATTTAAACTGCATTAGTGAAGTTATGCAACGCAAACCCCCCATCATCACCCGAACTGTCCCTCACAGAATCACAAGGCCCCACAGTCCTTAGGCAGCGCCGGCAAGCTCGCAAGCCAGCTCCGGCCGGAGACGTCCCTCGGCGCCGTTCTCAGCGATCGAGCGGCGTTGGTCGCACACGGATCGGCCGGGGCGAGCTGAGCGGGGCGCCTGCCCAGCCACTGGCGCCTCACGCGGCCCGCACGCGGCCGGTCCAGACCGCGCCGCTTCGGCAGTCACTGCCACACCTGCCGGCAAGGCGGACCGGTGCGCTGCTGAGTCTTCACACAGCCGGCTGCATGGTGTGTGGCCTGGCCCGGCGCCAGTCACGGCCGAGACCTGACCGGTGCAGCGCAGGCCCGACACGCCGGGCCCGGTCCAGTGCACGTGACGTCACACTCTTGCCACAAGCAGGCACCGACACAAAGGTCGACCGCGGCATATGGTGGCCGATAAACGAGTCGAGGTCCACACAGCTCCACAGATGGCCCGGCAGCATGCATCCCCACCACGAGCACACCACCTGGTCATTACAAAGGGAACTGTGGTAACACGCAGAAAGCGGGCCCGTTGCGACTGAGCCGAGCCGCGCACTCGACAACACAGCGGAGAGACGTCCGCACTGGAACCGTACATCACAGCGGAGAGACGTCCGCATTGGAACCGTACATCACAGCGGAGAGACGTCCGCACTGGAACCGTACATCACAGCGGAGAGACGTCCGCATTCGAACCGTACATCACAGCGGAGAGACGTCCGCGCTGGAATCGCACATCACAGCGGAGAGGCGTCCGCATTGGAACCGTACATCACAGCGGAGAGACGTCCGCGCTGGAATCGCACATCACAGCGGAGAGGCGTCCGCACTGGAACCGTACATCACAGCGGACGTCTCTCCGCTGTGATGCACGGTTCCAGTGCGTACATCGCAGCGGAGAGACGTCCGCATTGAAACCGTACATCACAGCGGAGAGACGCCCGCACTGGAACCGTACATCACAGCGGAGACGTCCGCACTGGAACCGTACATCACAGCGGAGACGTCCGCACAGGAATTGTACATCACAGCGGAGACGTGCGCACTGGAATCGCACATCACAGCGGAAACGTCCGCACTGGAACCGTACATCACAGCGGAGACGTCCGCACTGGAACCGTACATCACAGCGGAGAGACGTCCGCATTGGAACCGTACATCACAGCGGAGAGACGTCCGCGCTGGAATCGCACATCACAGCGGAGAGGCGTCCGCATTGGAACCGTACATCACAGCGGAGAGACGTCCGCGCTGGAATCGCACATCACAGCGGAGAGGCGTCCGCACTGGAACCGTACATCACAGCGGACGTCTCTCCGCTGTGATGCACGGTTCCAGTGCGTACATCGCAGCGGAGAGACGTCCGCATTGAAACCGTACATCACAGCGGAGAGACGCCCGCACTGGAACCGTACATCACAGCGGAGACGTCCGCACTGGAACCGTACATCACAGCGGAGACGTCCGCACAGGAATTGTACATCACAGCGGAGACGTGCGCACTGAAATTGTACATCACAGCGGAGACGTCCGCACTGGAATCGCACATCACAGGGCGTCCGCTGACAGCTCATGGTGGCGAATTCAGGGTCCCAGGCCACGCAAGGCTATCCAAACTTGAGTCACAAAGAGTAAGATACAGATATAAAATCACGCTTACAAGAGATGGTGATGGTGCTAGTGTCCCACCCCAATCTACCAACATCAATTCTATACCAAATGTGTCGATATACCTGCCAGCCATCGCTCAGGTTTGACGCTCACGAGAGCACGAACTCCAAGCGGGCTCCTTTCCGTCCAGCACACAAGGTGACACGCCTCTTGGCCTGTCACGCCACACGAGCACATGTGTCCGTCGGTATCCCGCGTACGGCAGTACAGATCACTCGCTCGAATGAACTTGGCGTCTGTGCTTTCCGCGAGCACATGTTTGAGGTACCAGCATAGATGCGACTCTAGGAGCGGCTCGAGAGAGAGCCCCGGCCATGGTTCAGTTAGAAAAGAGCGAGTTCGAGGTAAATTGAACAAATTCGGTACTTTTTATCATTACTTCCCCGTTAAATGCCCGCGACCCCATCAAATGATGTGTTACTTGGTGTTTTAGTGACATCGACCTCTAAGATAATTTGCGCCTGCAACGGTGACCTTACCTTTTTAGTAGGGTGTTAAGACAATAAAGCGAATCTATTTTAGAAAAGAAAATACCTGTCTTTGCACGAGAAAGCCAGAACTGCCACCCAGGATATCACCGAGTCTAAAACACGATGCATGGCAGGCAACCAGTGCACTGCAGTCGTTTCTTCCCAAAATGTGGACACGACCAGAACAGGTGGTTTACTGTAGGAAAGACACCGCATCGATGGCAAAGAGAAGCCCCGGCCGAACATATCAAGCATACGTTGCGTATGTTTGGCGAAAGCGTACCCCAGATAATTTCCCACAGACGCTGCAAAATCGTTGGAATTGTAGCAAACACGTCCGTTACGCATAACGTGGAGACAATGTTACACTTTGATCGATCGATGCTGTGACTGGCGGCGCACCATTGACAGAAAGGCTTATATTATGCGACTCACCTCCAAACCGTAGGCCGCTCTGGATTTCCGTGCTCCATCTCCAGTGGATCGCCCGTCCAACACCTTCACTGGACGCTTCTCTTCCCGAACAGCGTGATGTCAGACGCTGTCCCCGGTGCCCCTTGGCTCTGGTGGGTGATGATTACGCGACCTGCCCCGGCACCGAGCCCCCCCCCCCCCCCCTCCGCCACGGGGCGTCACTCGCGGCGGCCCAGCCGGCCCACGTCCGGGTACCGCGCCGGCTGCTGTCGGTAGGCGGCGCTCTCACGCACCGCGTCGGCCAGGCTGGCAGCAGCCACGCGGCGCGCCGCCGCCTCCACCTCGGCGTCCTCGGCCACGGCGGCCAGCAGCGCGTCGGGCCCGGCGCCGGTTGGCAGGCGGCACGCTTCCAGCGCCTCGGCCGTGCAGCGGCGCACAAGCTGAGCCAGTGAGCCGCGCGGCTTCTGCGCCTGCAGCGCGGCGCGCCGACCGGCCGGCTGCACGGCCAGGTAGCCGTCACTGAAGGGCCGCGCCGCCGACGGCCGGCGTCGCTGCAGCTCGGCGTCACGGCAGAGCGTGGCCAGCCAGCCGGCCGGCACCGCGTAGTGCCACGACTCGGCGCCCGGCCGCACCGGCGCCAGCGCGCCCACCGACCGTACCGGCTCTGCTGTCGCGCTCAGCTCCACGTCCATGGCGGCCGCCGCCGGCTCGACAGGAGCTGCAGCGGCGGCGCTGGCAGCGGCGCTGGCAGCAGCGGCAGCAGCGGTGCTGGCGGCTGTGGCTGCGGTGGCAGCGGCGGCGGCGCGCTCCTCAGCCGCCTCGCGCGCCACCAGCCGTTCCTTGCGCGCGCGGTGCGTCGCCTGGTGCCACGAGTGACACTGCAGGAACGGGTCGAACGGGTTCGCGCCCAGGTGGCGCACCACGGGCGTGTGGCCGAGCGGCGGTTGCGGCTGCGCCGTCGGCCGAGTGGAGGTGGCGCTGGTGGTGCCGCCGTCACCCGACGTCGGCTGCTCGGCCGCGCTGGCGCCGGCGCCGGCGACGCCACCGCCGCCGCCGCCAACGCTGCCGGCCGTCGTCGCCGCCGGCTGCATCTGGAGCGCCGCACTCACTGCCGCCTGGTGGGCCGCCATCGCCGCCTCGTGCACGTTGCGGTGCAGACCGGGCGCATGCGCTTCCAGGTGAGCGCCCACCACGCTGTTCTGGATCGCCTCGACGATGTTGTTGAGCAGGTTCTGGCCGTCGGCGGCGGGCGCAGCTGGGCTCGTTTGATCGGCCGCCGGACCGGCCGCCGTCGTCACCGTCTCCAGCTCGATGCGCACCTCGTTTACGTCCTCCGTCTCCATGGCGTTGTCGTCAAGTGGCGGGTCGGCCGGGTCGGCGGCGGGTGCCGGTGCGGCCGCCGGTCCGGGCGGCGATCCGGCCGTCGGGGCCGCGGCCGGCTCCGGCGGCGCGCCGGCGTCGGGCGGCGCGCCCGCGTCCGTCACCGGCGCGCCCGGCCGCTCCCGGTGGATGTTAGTGGTGATGTTGATGTGCGCCTGCACTGGCTGCATGGCCGGCATCGGGTGCGTCTCCGTGAAGATGACGGGTCGGGCGCGCATGTGGCGCGGCGGCGCCTGCTCGAAGTCGAGCATCATATCACTACTGAGATGCAGCGCGTGCGCCAGGTAGTGCATCGCCTCCGAGGTGTGCTGGAAGAGGCGGCGCGCCTCGCGCGCGGCCGCCGCGTCGGCGCACGGCCGGTCGTCTTGCATGAGACGGCGGTAGCGGCCCATGTAGGGGCGCAGGCGAGCCTGCAGGTCAGCCACCATCTCCAGCAGACGCGCGTACACGGCGGCACTGGGGTGCGCCACGAACGCCGCGCCGCCCGATCCGGCCGTCGCCGCCTGGCCGGTGGCGGCAGCGACCGGCTCCTCAGAGGGAGCAGTACGTCCGGCGGGGGTGGAAGAAGCGGCGGGGGTGGAAGAAGCGGCGCGTTCGCCACCAGTGGAAGCCGTTGCCGACCCGGTGGCGGAGACAGCAGGCGCGGCAGGGGGGACTGAAGGGGCAGCGGACGCGGTGGTGGGTGGCCCTACAGATGAGACGGCTGGGCCCGTAGAGGGCGTCGAGCCTGAGGAGTCCGGTCGGGCGGCGCCGGCTGCCGGCGCCGCGGCCGGACCAGCAGTGGGAGTCGTCGGCCGCTGGTGGATGTGGAATTGGAAGCGGCCGGGGGGCACACCTGACCCCATGGCGCCCGGCATCAGACCCACCATCGGCATGGCGTTGGAGGCGGCGCTGAGCGCGGCCGTCAGGGCCGCCGAGGTGGCCTGCTGCAGGTCTGAGCCGCCGGCCGTGCCCACGTGCACGTTGATCATCGGGAACATTGTGGCCATGTGCGGCGGACGGGGCCCTCCTGGCTGGGACGGCGGCCGCTGCTGCTGCTGCTGTGGCGGCGCGGGCGGCGGCTGCCGGGGGCCCGTCGCCGGTGGCGGTGGCGCCGCTCCGCCGGCCGTCGCCAGACGCGGTATCTCCTCACCGTTCTCGTAGGCATCTAGCGCGATGTTGGCCAGGTGGACCATCTGGCGGGCTTGGAAGAGGCGGGCTCCGCTCGACGAGGTGCCGAGCGTGGGCGCGCCGGTCGGCCGATCAGACACGAACGAGCCCACCAGCACTTGGCCCACCGGCGGGTGGTGATGGTGGTGGTGATGGTGCACGTGGTGGTGGTGCGGCCGTGGCCCGGTGGGCGGCGGCGGCGGCGGCGGCTGCGGGCCACGGCCAGGTGGCGGCCGCTGCACCAGGTGCACTACCTTCTCGTGCACGTCATACTGGCGCAGTGGCTTGTCGTCCTGCAGCACCCGGCCGCAGTAGATGAGCCGCTGCTGGCCGGCCGCGATGCCCACCGTCCCGGCAATCTGCTCTTTGAACGCCTTCACAGTCGCATCATCGGCCACCGAGAACTGGTGGTTGCGCGAGTCAAGTGTCTTCACTGTGATGTTGAGCATTGTGGAGAGCTGGCCACACCAGCCGGACGGCTCCTGCAAACGCCACACACCGGTCAGCTGCCCACACTGCAGTCCACAGCTACCTGATGGAGTTTAGGCACGCGCGGCTGGCAGCAACCCGGTACAAAAGTTTCTGACGGCTAGTTTTGCCAGTGAAAACTCGCTGGCAGGTACTGCTGATGGCAAAAACTGGCGGAAGCTTGCCAATATTCAGGTACCGCAAATCATGTTGCTACAAGCCAGAGGAAAGTATGCAACGATGCAATAGCAAAACGGTTGTAAGTGCATACATGGCAAAATAACATGTCATTTAAGCACCGATAACGTTGGTGCAATGCTTAACACGTGAGCAATACAAGAGCGGCATGAAATGACGGCATAAAGGTGAAATGACGGCAGCGGCATTTTTAGAAATCGAAGTCGTAGTTTCTCCCGTGCCAGCCTTCATGGCTTTCATCCATTGCGGTAGCAGGAGGCAATATAGCATGTCTTTGTAAGAACGAATACCCAGATCTTTAGGATGGAGCAAGGATAGGGTCAGATGTTTTGCATGTGTAAAAACGACACACTGGATACAATCATAACCAACCATTACTTTTATTCCACACGTGAAAGTGGAAGGTGTAAATATTATTTTTGCACTGGCTGCATCCCAGAGGACTCTGATGTCTGCTTCGTTTGGCCATGCGGTGATAGGTAACCAAACGAAGCAGGCATAATTATACGATTCTTTGAAAAACCAAAACAAAGAGGTATACAACAGCCAACATTTAAAAAAACCGTTCACTGAGGCTTCATAAATCATTACGTCGCGAAATCAGCTGGCCATTTATGATATATTCCAGTCGGCAGCCAAAGCAGCGTAAACCGCTAAGGAGTTCATCAAACAACGTGAAAAAGATGTCAAAAATCAGATCTATGACACAAAATTAATGATGTATAATTAGCGAAAAACCAGAGGAGCCTTGACCTTTTAATGTCCTTGCCACCCTTAGAGACGATCTCAAAGAGCACTGTTGCCCTCTGTTTTATCTGAAGGCAGCGGTGTTTGCTTGATTATAGTTTTCTCACAACGCCGTTTGATTTTGATCGTAGCTTTACTAATAGTTCTGAGCTAGAAATGGAGGAGCTGTAGCCTCTACCAACTTGATACAAAACTACAACCTTGCATTCGGCATTATGACTTCAGAGTTGTTATGCTGAGATATGGAGATTCCATATACCAGGTGGTGCGATTACAAGACGTGCTAAAGCAAGCATTGCTTGAATTGTCAGTGCTCGGCGTTTGAAGCAGTGCTTATGACCAAGAGTGCGTTGTCATATGCACTCACGGCGTGCCTCGTGGACGTCCTGTCGGCCCTATGACCTTGTCGTCTTTTGACTATTATATTTTGACTGGCGCATTTAATCGCTGTCGACGTTTTGTCCTTCAAACTGTCTGGTTCCGCTTTTTTGTCGGTCGATTTTTTTCCGACTCGGCTTACCACTGTTCAGCATTTGTCCTTCTGCTGTTTCGGCTCGGGATTAATCCCAGTCCACTTTTTTCCCTCATTGCCTGACATCGAGTGTGAATGACCTGTTCTATGCGCCATTATCCACAACAACCAGTCCTCTTTTATCCCTCTCAACTTTTTATAGTTAGACATTTCCTGCGACTCTCTGTTTCCATTTGACTTTTTATCCAGACATCACCACTTACATTTGACTGGAATGGTCAGTGCCTGTGATAGCAGCCATGCAAGAGCTCAGGTGGTGGCAGATGGCAGGACGGACCATGCTGAGCATTGTGGTATGTGACACTTTTGTCTCAAATTTCTCACTTTGACCCAAAATTTCATGCCTGGATGGTGGGGTCCGTGCTTATGCACCACATAATGCTCAATGAGAGCTGTGATCCCTGAAATTCATCCAACAAAAGGTTTCAGCTAGAACTAAAGGATGAGTTTGAAAAGAGTTTATCAAATTTCTTGATGTCAATTATGTCCTTTTACTTGTATGTGTAATAGGGAGTGCCTCACATTGGAAGATATCGAAGAAGGCATCAGATATAATGAAATAAGCTCACCTGTAAATGATGGTACACTTTTTAAGCAGAAAAGCTGCTCCAGACAGCATGATTCTCTGCTTGGTAAACATGCCCCTCAATGCACCATGGTTTGATCACGTCATCGTACCTTGCACAACACTGATTAAGTCAATTGATGGCCACTTATCTATAAATCGCCCCCACGAACATCAGATACCAATGCCTCGACAATTACCTTTTTTGGCCTCGATTGCCACATGGCTTATGGAATGGCGAAGTTTGAATGCTGTCATTATGACATTATGAATGCCAAGGTGAACTTGAAATATCTTCCCAATATACCTCCCTATTTTTGAGGGCTTGTAGCTCAGAAACTACAGGGGCTTAGGTTTCAAGAAGGGCAGAATTGTGAACTGCACTGAAATGTCTTCAGGATGGCTATTTCTGTTCAAAACACAATATAAATGTGGAACACTCCCTCTAATTTTGGGCGGCTGCTGTTGACTTAAAAATGTGAAATGACTTTGTCCTTAACCCAAACCTTATAGCACATAAATTTTGTATTCATTATAAAAAGAGCACACATTGTTCATCCTTTGCTCATGTTTCATTTATTTTTCAGCTATCCTTCAAATTCTGAATATCAGCAGAAAACAATGGGTTTATACATCTGGCAGGGGTGAGTTGATATAGACTCTTCAATATTTTGCACCCATTATTGCACCAGTCAGCTAGGTTGGTAACAAATGTTTTGGTCAGCATATGTTACCATTGCACCCAAAATTTTCAGTCACCTCTGGGGCATCCATTGCACATGTCTCGACACCAAAAGCACATCCAAAGTATTTCCGGTTTCATAGTAGCAACGGTTTTTCAGGAACATGGCACGTTGATCCACGCCCACAGCAGAGAGTGGGTGGCGACCGACGATACCGCGGACAGCGCGAGGCAGGCAACCATGTTATGTTAATAGAGCCATACATCATAAGCATATGCTCACAACACCTTGAACAATGTGCCATCATGCTCAGATCAAAACAAGGAACACACTGTTCAAGTTTGGTATCATGAATGGGAATGGTTTAGTATCTATGAGCATGTCAAACTGGAAAAGTTAAATTTTCAAGAGAATTTGACTCTGGACTTAGCTTAATGGGTCAATTATTGACATGGCAGTGTAAGACTTTTTACCAATCACTACAGTTCATTGAGACATGACCATTGTTGTGTTTCCCAAGAGGCTCAATCTTTCTTGGTTTTGAAAATTGCATGGTGCATCTTCCCTTCCTCATCATTCTATTAGTCTGCAATATGAAAAACTGGGACAAGAGTTAGGAATGATCCCACTAACCCCATCATGCAATCACTACTCAGTGTTCCAGAATATCCAAACTACAGATACACAGCTCCAGCTATGAATGTAAATCAATAAAAGACTAACTGCATGAAAAAAACACATGTTTGTATTTGCCATACAGTGCTCTTGCACTGACCCAGACCTTTCAATGTACCAGCAATTTCCTTTTAACAATCCTCTAATGCCACAATTAATGTCCCAGTGGGCTAGGTAAACTCAAGGTGCTCTATTTGTTCAAAGAAAAATGGATCTGTGCTGAAATGAACAAGCATTCAATGAATCTATCCCTTTAATAATATGTCCCTTCAGTGACATTCACAATCATGTTTTCATAGGTCACATTCCACAAAAAATTAAATATGGCAAATAAAGGGCATCACCATTGCAGAAGATACAGTGAACCAATTGTCCTCCCATTACAGCCTGCAAAAGGTGGCAAACCAGTTAATAAGATATCTGAACCTGCTCTGATGATGATGATTGGGGTTTTAGGGCGCGCCAAGTTCTGGGGTCACTTTGCGCCAAATGGGATAGCCAACCACTCTGTTTGGAGCACTGATTGATGATTTTGTGAATGGGGGAGGTGGCCTCCATATTCATGTTCTGATTGGTATCTAAAAAATATTTATTACTCCTATTGATGTTTAAGAAAGGTTAAAATCACACTCAAAGTGCCATCCAGTGTTTTGGATTACATATTTACTTAACCTTTTTGAAAAATATATGATACTTCAAAAATGTCACAATGTACACAAGAAAATCTGGTGGTTTCGAACCGCCACCCTGATTTTTGACCTACGGATATGCTACTATTTTGTGCTGGTTTACCTGTTCAGGAAAAGCAGCAGAAGCCATCAGGAGCAAAAAGCTTTGCATTTACATAATTTTTAGCATATATCTGCCCTGCCTACAAAGCACTTAATCAAGATGTCATGCTTTGCAAGCAGTGACTAACATTGTTTACATGCTAGCCCACAGCAATGAAGCATCAATGGGATGATTGGAGCATCTATCTGTTAATACTTCAGGCAGAGCCACCACCTCAAAATCATCCCCTTCAACCATGTCTCAGTCCATGACCTGGGCACCAGTCAACAAATGCTGATGCCCCGAATTCTGCATGTACTTTGGCAACCCAACTCATCAATAAAGGAGACTGCTGATAAACCCACCAATCTAGTGGCAGTACAAAGTTATGCTGTACCTTATGTCCTCATATTCACAAATTCTCAAGCATATGTCTCCACACACCAGCCCTGTACACACGTTTATGAAAGCACCTTTCATACATCTTTTCAGGCAGGCCACCCATGTTGCCAGAGCAAACTTCGAACAGCTTGATAGGCAAGCAGTAGAAGAAAAGCCATACGCACCCTCGTGTAACTGGAAACAGTCGTTTGCGAGGAAACCGGCGACGACCTGTGCAACTGAACGTGGATCTATGGCGACATAAGATCTGTGGTAAAATTATTGGCCTACAACATCGGTGCGAGAAATGTCGGTAAATGTAGCGCACATATCAGTAATCGTGGAAGGTGTCTATTCTACTGTCAGTATTTTTTGCGCATATTTTCTGGTCACCTGTTGCAAACAAATTCCGTGACCGACTAAGCGTCACTGGGCGAGACATGGCCACCTGTTATGCACTGTGGATCCCTGACCGACAAAGGGGCCTCACCCACTGTGCCAGGGACCCAGACTTATGCAAGCTGTGGCCCCGATCTTGTTTTTCTTGGAAAATGGGCCCTCCATGGAAAAATGACTGATTGGAAGGTGGACCCTCAAGCCCATACCAATACGGAGCAGACCGTGCAGTATTGCTGGTGCCTGACCGACAAATAGACCCACATCGGCTCAGGGTGTCCATGATCGATACAAATGGCGCTCTAACTGTCATTTGAGGATCCGTCCCTGGAGGCCGGGGCCCCCGAATAAGACTCCGGCCAGCTTTTTATGCCCTTAGACGCTCCAGACGAGTCCTTGATCGTCGTACCCGGCGGGCCCTCCAATCTCTGCGGGCCTTCTCACTGCGTCTGACCGACTTAAGGCCCCTGGCCAGTACACGGGCGCCGTGGGGTCCCGATCAATTAAATCGCCGGCTCCAGCTTTGTCTCTGCTCGGGAAATGGGCCCTCAGGCCCATGTTACCATGACGATGACTGTGTGTTACTGGTAGTGTCTGACCACCATATAGGCCCTTATCGACTCAGGGGCCCTTGATCAACGCGCAGGGCACTCTACTTGGCATTTAAGCGTTATGCCCTATGAACTGGGGCCCCTGAATACGACCTCCGGCCGGTTGTTCTGACCCTTTGGGGCCGCCAGTCGGGCCCTTAATCGCAGGTCCCGAGGGGCTCAAAGGGCCCGTCGGAACCTTAGGGGGAGGGTCGCGTGCGAATTATTGGACCCTCTGTGTCGGTAAGCGATCCTTTAAGTTCAATGAGGCCTCTGCGTCTATCTGGGACCTACTGCTCCGGCCTGAGGGCTTACCGCGTCAGGGAGGGACCAATGCATGATGCATTCTTCTGCGGCCCTGCTGATCGACCAGGAGCCCTGGCCAACCGTGCCTCCAGAAAGGTATCCGGTAGGTACCTCCGGGTGGCGGGTTGAAACGCAAATCCCCTCCAGCCCTTGACCGGGAAGGCATGGGCCTCCCTAGAGTTCTACTTACTGTGCTCTCTGTACGCAAAAGGCAGGGGGGTTGTTGGTGTTTAATCCAGTGGCCCCTAAACGAAAGCATTCGTCGGTACGATCATATAAATGAAAACAAATTTGGAGGCCCTCGAATAAAAGGGGCCAAATCTGGCTTTTTTGGGGTGCTTTTTCACCGGGAGCCCTCTGTTAAGCCGTGTGCCGCTCCCACCACTTCTTACCAAAACTTTAGCCTCTCCCCTGGCATAAGATGGGAGGTTGTGGAATCTGAGGCCGGCTCTGCTCGGCTGAAGTCCTTAGATGGGCCCTTTCCGGACCTGAGATACCTACTTTCAGTCTAAAACGTTGTCATTTCAGGTATTTAAGAAGGGCTCCTCTTGAGTCCACGATGGGGCCTTTCCAGATCTGGGACGGCCCTTTTTTTCCTCATCGATGGGCCCCACTCAGACCTGAGGCGGACCCCTCTGAGTTTACGGTAGACTTGTCCCGATAAGAGACGGGCCTTTTTGAGTCTGCAATGGGCCCTTTCCAAACAACAAAAGGATCCTTTTCGTGCCTGGAACTTTTTATTTTTTTTTTTTGCCTTGAAATTGATCCTTCCCGGACCTGAGAGGGACTCTCTACGCTCACTTTGATGACACACAATAAACGAATCTCGTCCACAAATCTACCGGGGGCCCGTTTGGGTCAGCTGAATTATGGGGGAAGATAGTTTTTGAACCTTATCTCATACATGGAGACAGTTCGCACCTCGGATACACCGCGCACTGGCTCTAAGCCTACGATGGGCCCACTCCAGACCAGAGATGGGCCCTTCCCAGCCCAAAAGTGAGATAGGCCTTTTAAGAGCCTCAAGTTCTTCGTTTCTCAGCCTATGTTGGCACCTACCTGGCTTGAGACGTGCCGTTTCTGAACTTATGATGAATTCTTTCCAGACATGAAGAGGGCCTTCTCTAACCTTACGATGGGCCCTTTCACCAACCGTAGGTGGGCCCCTCTTTGAGCTTACGATGAGCCCTTTCCAGACCAGGAAGGGACTGTGCCTGGAAGTGACATGAGTATTTTCCGTCTTGAAATGAGCCATTTCCAGCCTAAGACGGGCCCTTGCGGACATGAAACCATTTCTTTCTGAGCTTGGGATGGGCCCTTGCCGGACCAGACATGAGCCCTCTACGCCTGCTTTGGTGACACCAATAAACAAGTACTACCCACGCACTTGGGGGTCTCTTCTGGGCCACCTCAAGCCTCAAAAGATGGGGAGGCAGTTTTCCTCCACTGCTCCCCTCCCCGCCGGATACGCCGCCACTGATTCTCGTACTCTCAAAACTCTCCGAGTTTTGCGGCCAAGCCATTTGGCCACTGATAAAACTTACTCCAATTTTCATATTTGCCCTCGGACATACAGCACAACGACTGCTCACAAAACAGTGCTGCCTTCTGTTCCGGTGCTGATGACATCAGGTCAGCCAGCAGGTCACAAACGCTACGAAATGTTAGCGTTGACCGCTTACTTTTGGGTTTGCAGTTGCTAAGCCTAAGGATTTGTTACTGCGAGGTTCTGCACGTTTCACAGTTTGGCATACTGTTACCAATTAAGCCGCCTTTCGATTGCATGGGAGAACGCTCCACAAACTCCACAAGTAATGGCGGTTGCATAGGTCTTCATCCACCAACGGATAATTGAATTCCGGGGGTGGAGACTCTACCGGCTGCCATGCTTGGCATGGTCCGTCCTGCTTCTTAACATGTCACAAGAGCTGAAACGCAACCGCCATCACCGGCCGCAGGTCACCCCATTCAGGCACAAACTGCGATCACAGACTCGAACCTGTCCCGCAACGGCTGGGTGAATCGGAAGGGGGCCGCACTGACCACCATCCGTTGGTGGGCCAGAATCGGAAGAGAGCCGCATTGGCCACTATCCGTTGGTGGGTCAGAGTCGGAAGAGAGAATCGGAAGAGAGCCGCATTGACCGCCATCCGTTGGTGGGCCAGAATCGGAAGAGAGCCGCATTGACCACCATCCGTTGGTGGGCCAGAATCGGAAGAGAGCCGCATTGACCACCATTCGTCGGTGGGCCAGAATCGGAAGAGAGACGCATT